AGGTATTTGAGTTCAACATGTAAGAAGTAGAAAGTACAGGTATTTGAGTTCAACATGTAAGAAGTAGAAAGTACAGGTATTTGAGTTCAACATGTAAGAAGTAGAAAGTACAGGTATTTGTGTTCAACATGAGAGAAGTAGAAAGTACAGGTATTGAGTTCAACATGTAAGAAGTAGAAAGTACAGGTATTTGAGTTCAACATGTAAGAAGTAGAAAGTACAGGTATTTGGGTTCAACATGTAAGAAGTAGAAAGTACAGGTATTTGAGTTCAACATGTAAGAAGTAGAAAGTACAGGTATTTGTGTTCAACATGTAAGAAGTAGAAAGTACAGGTATTTGTGTTCAACATGTAAGAAGTAGAAAGTACAGGTATTTGAGTTCAACATGTAAGAAGTAGAAAGTACAGGTATTTGTGTTCAACATGAGAGAAGTAGAAAGTACAGGTATTTGAGTTCAACATGTAAGAAGTAGAAAGTACAGGTATTTGAGTTCAACATGTAAGAAGTAGAAAGTACAGGTATTTGGGTTCAACATGTAAGAAGTAGAAAGTACAGGTATTTGAGTTCAACATGTAAGAAGTAGAAAGTACAGGTATTTGTGTTCAACATGTAAGAAGTAGAAAGTACAGGTATTTGGGTTCAACATGTAAGAAGTAAAAAGTACAGGTATTTGTGTTCAACATGTAAGAAGTAGAAAGTACAGGTATTTGAGTTCAACATGTAAGAAGTATAAAGTACAGGTATTTGTGTTCAACATGTGAGAAGTAGAAAGTACAGGTATTTGAGTTCAACAAGTAAGAAGTAGAAAGTACAGGTATTTGTGTTCAACATGTAAGAAGTAGAAAGTACAGGTATTTGAGTTCAACATGTAAGAAGTATAAAGTACAGGTATTTGTGTTCAACAAGTAAGAAGTAGAAAGTACAGGTATTTGAGTTCAACAAGTAAGAAGTAGAAAGTACAGGTATTTGAGTTCAACATGTGAGAAGTAGAAAGTACAGGTATTTGAGTTCAACATGTAAGAAGTAGAAAGTACAGGTATTTGTGTTCAACATGTGAGAAGTAGAAAGTACAGGTATTTGTGTTCAACAAGTAAGAAGTAGAAAGTACAGGTATTTGAGTTCAACAAGTAAGAAGTAGAAAGTACAGGTATTTGAGTTCAACATGTAAGAAGTAGAAAGTACAGGTATTTGTGTTCAACATGTAAGAAGTAGAAAGTACAGGTATTTGTGTTCAACATGTAAGAAGTAGAAAGTACAGGTATTTGTGTTCAACATGTAAGAAGTAGAAAGTACAGGTATTTGAGTTCAACGTGTAAGAAGTAGAAAGTACAAGTATTTGTGTTCAACATGTAAGAAGTAGAAAGTACAGGTATTTGAGTTCAACATGTAAGAAGTAGAAAGTACAGGTATTTGGGTTTCAACATGTAAGAAGTAGAAAGTACAAGTATTTGAGTTCAACATGTAAGAAGTAGAAAGTACAGGTATTAGAGTTCAACATGTGAGAAGTAGAAAGTACAGGTATTTGAGTTCAACATGTAAGAAGTAGAAAGTACAGGTATTAGAGTTCAACATGTGAGAAGTAGAAAGTACAGGTATTTGAGTTCAACATGTAAGAAGTAGAAAGTACAGGTATTTGAGTTCAACATGTAAGAAGTAGAAAGTACAGGTATTTGAGTTCAACATGTAAGAAGTAGAAAGTACAGGTATTTGAGTTCAACATGTAAGAAGTAGAAAGTACAGGTATTTGTGTTCAACATGTAAGAAGTAGAAGTACAGTTATTTGAGTTCAACATGTAAGAAGTAGAAAGTACAGGTATTTGAGTTCAACATGTAAGAAGTAGAAAGTACATGTATTGAGTTCAACATGTAAGAAGTAGAAAGTACAGGTATTTGTGTTCAACATGTAAGAAGTAGAAAGTAGTACAGGTATTTGTGTTCAACAAGTAAGAAGTAGAAAGTACAGGTATTTGAGTTCAACAAGTAAGAAGTAGAAAGTACAGGTATTTGTGTTCAACATGTAAGAAGTAGAAAGTACAGGTATTTGTGTTCAACATGTAAGAAGTAGAAAGTACAGGTATTTGTGTTCAACATGTAAGAAGTAGAAAGTACAGGTATTTGAGTTCAACATGTAAGAAGTAGAAAGTACAGGTATTTGAGTTCAACAAGTAAGAAGTATAAAGTACAGGTATTTGTGTTCAACATGTAAGAAGTAGAAAGTACAGGTATTTGTGTTCAACATGTAAGAAGTAGAAGTACAGGTATTTGAGTTCAACATGTAAGAAGTAGAAAGTACAGGTATTTGTGTTCAACATGTAAGAAGTAGAAAGTACAGGTATTTGGGTTCAACATGTAAGAAGTAGAAAGTACAGGTATTTGGGTTCAACATGTAAGAAGTAGAAAGTACAGGTATTTGAGTTCAACATGTAAGAAGTAGAAAGTACAGGTATTTGAGTTCAACATGTAAGAAGTAGAAAGTACAGGTATTTGTGTTCAACATGTAAGAAGTAGAAAGTACAGTTATTTGAGTTCAACATGTAAGAAGTAGAAAGTACAGGTATTTGAGTTCAACATGTAAGAAGTAGAAAGTACATGTATTGAGTTCAACATGTAAGAAGTAGAAAGTACAGGTATTTGTGTTCAACATGTAAGAAGTAGAAAGTAGTACAGGTATTTGTGTTCAACAAGTAAGAAGTAGAAAGTACAGGTATTTGAGTTCAACAAGTAAGAAGTAGAAAGTACAGGTATTTGTGTTTCAACATGTAAGAAGTAGAAAGTACAGGTATTTGTGTTCAACATGTAAGAAGTAGAAAGTACAGGTATTTGTGTTCAACATGTAAGAAGTAGAAAGTACAGGTATTTGAGTTCAACATGTAAGAAGTAGAAAGTACAGGTATTTGTGTTCAACATGTAAGAAGTAGAAAGTACAGGTATTTGGGTTCAACATGTAAGAAGTAGAAAGTACAGGTATTTGAGTTCAACATGTAAGAAGTAGAAAGTACAGGTATTTGTGTTCAACATGTAAGAAGTAGAAAGTACAGGTATTTGAGTTCAACATGTAAGAAGTAGAAAGTACAGGTATTTGTGTTCAACATGAGAGAAGTAGAAAGTACAGGTATTTGAGTTCAACATGTAAGAAGTAGAAAGTACAGGTATTTGAGTTCAACATGTAAGAAGTAGAAAGTACAGGTATTTGGGTTCAACATGTAAGAAGTAGAAAGTACAGGTATTTGAGTTCAACATGTAAGAAGTAGAAAGTACAGGTATTTGTGTTCAACATGTAAGAAGTAGAAAGTACAGGTATTTGGGTTCAACATGTAAGAAGTAAAAGTACAGGTATTTGTGTTCAACATGTAAGAAGTAGAAAGTACAGGTATTTGAGTTCAACATGTAAGAAGTATAAAGTACAGGTATTTGTGTTCAACATGTGAGAAGTAGAAAGTACAGGTATTTGAGTTCAACAAGTAAGAAGTAGAAAGTACAGGTATTTGTGTTCAACATGTAAGAAGTAGAAAGTACAGGTATTTGAGTTCAACATGTAAGAAGTATAAAGTACAGGTATTTGTGTTCAACAAGTAAGAAGTAGAAAGTACAGGTATTTGAGTTCAACAAGTAAGAAGTAGAAAGTACAGGTATTTGAGTTCAACATGTGAGAAGTAGAAAGTACAGGTATTTGAGTTCAACATGTAAGAAGTAGAAAGTACAGGTATTTGTGTTCAACATGTGAGAAGTAGAAAGTACAGGTATTTGTGTTCAACAAGTAAGAAGTAGAAAGTACAGGTATTTGAGTTCAACAAGTAAGAAGTAGAAAGTACAGGTATTTGAGTTCAACATGTAAGAAGTAGAAAGTACAGGTATTTGTGTTCAACATGTGAGAAGTAGAAAGTACAGGTATTTGTTTTCAACATGTGAGAAGTAGAAAGTACAGGTATTTGTTTTCAACATGTGAGAAGTAGAAAGTACAGGTATTTGAGTTCAACATGTGAGAAGTAGAAAGTACAGGTATTTGTGTTCAAAATGTGAGAAGTAGAAAGTACAGGTATTTGAGTTCAACATGTAAGAAGTAGAAAGTACAGGTATTTGTGTTCAACATGTAAGAAGTATAAAGTACAGGTATTTGTGTTCAAAATGTGAGAAGTAGAAAGTACAGGTATTTGAGTCAAACATGTGAGAAGTAGAAAGTACAGGTATTTGTGTTCAACATGTAGAAAGTACAGGTATTTGAGTTCAACATGTGAGAAGTAGAAAGTACAGGTATTTGAGTTCAACATGTGAGAAGTAGAAAGTACAGGTATTTGTGTTCAACATGTAAGAAGTAGAAAGTACAGGTATTTGAGTTCAACATGTAAGAAGTAGAAAGTACAGGTATTTGAGTTCAACATGTGAGAAGTAGAAAGTACAGGTATTTGAGTTCAACATGTAAGAAGTAGAAAGTACAGGTATTTGAGTTCAACATGTAAGAAGTAGAAAGTACAGGTATTTGAGTTCAACATGTGAGAAGTAGAAAGTACAGGTATTTGAGTTCAACATGTAAGAAGTAGAAAGTACAGGTATTTGGGTTCAACATGTAAGAAGTAGAAAGTACAGGTATTTGAGTTCAACATGTGAGAAGTAGAAAGTACAGGTATTTGAGTTCAACATGTAAGAAGTAGAAAGTACAGGTATTTGGGTTCAACATGTAAGAAGTAGAAAGTACAGGTATTTGAGTTCAACATGTAAGAAGTAGAAAGTACAGGTATTTGAGTTCAACATGTGAGAAGTAGAAAGTACAGGTATTTGTGTTCAACATGTAAGAAGTAGAAAGTACAGGTATTTGAGTTCAACATGTGAGAAGTAGAAAGTACAGGTATTTGAGTTCAACATGTAAGAAGTAGAAAGTACAGGTATTTGAGTTCAACATGTAAGAAGTTGTCAGAAAAATAAGTAGTGGACTAAAGTACTGATACCAGAAGAATGTACTTAAGTACAGTAACGAAGTATTTGTACTCCGTGTGATGTGCAGTTTGAGTCCCAGAGGCTGGTGCTGCTGGAGGCCGGCTGCGGGGTGGGAAACTGCGTCTTCCCTCTGCTGGAGGAGGACCTGAACATCTTCGTTTACGCCTGTGACTTCTCCCCACGAGCTGTAGAGTTTGTGAAAGTAAGAAATGTTTCCATCAAGTACACGTCTAATGCCTGAATCATCTTTCCTTATATACATTTAACACAAGAAGTAAGGAAATGTGTGTTTTGGTAGATTATTTCTTTGTTGTAACGATGCTTTTTGACAATATATCTTATACCGTTGGAAAGCTAGTTTCTTTGTTACCTTTCAAAAGGTGCCACGGAGCTGAGTACGAGGGTTGCGACCACCTCCTTGTTCAAATCCTCCTGACGTTTTCCACCTTCTGCTTCCAGCTGAACCCTCTGTACTTTTAAAACTATTATACGTTAACGATATACGATAACACTTTAATGGTCAGATCAAGTCTGAAATGTGGCTTGCATCGCAGCAGCTCCATGTGTGACATCAACACGGACACATATCAAGACACAACACATGACAAACAGACAACAAACATTTAACATAACAACACGATCAGTGAGAGAAAACCTACTCAAAGAGCCTTCAGCGTGCATCTGATCTGGATTCAGCTCTGCGTTTACTGAGAGGATGGACTGGAGCACAAAGGATGCTTCAAGATATCGAAAATCATTTACATGACATCTGGATCTACTTAAGAACTACGTACAGTATACGATGACAAAGTACTCAGCAGTACATATAAGCTATGTAATGCTTGTGTGTTGAAATAGCCATGACTGTGTTTTAGCTTGAAAATGTAACTTGCTTTTTGTTTTTCCTCGTCTGTTTTGTGGGTTTTATTATTCCAGCTGAACCCTCTGTACTGTCCTGAGCGCTGCCATGCCTTCCAGTGCGACCTAACCAAAGACGACCTGAGGGGAAATGTCCCTGAAGGCAGCGTGGACGTCGTCACGCTCATCTTCGTCCTGTCAGCCGTCCATCCCGACAAGATGAAGCTGGCTCTGCAGAACATCAGCAGGGTGAGAGCGACAAAAACTACTGTTCTCTGATCAGTTAACGGTCACCTGTTATTCAAAATCCTCTTCTCCATGTCTCTTCTACATCAACATGTGTCCCCTCTTCTTCATGTCTCTTCTACATCAACATGTGTCCCCTCTTCTTCATGTCTATTCTACATCAACATGTGTCCCCTCTTCTTCATGTCTCTTCTACATCAACATGTGTCCCCTCTTCTTCATGTCTCTTCTACATCAACATGTGTCCCCTCTTCTTCATGTCTCTTCTACATCAACATGTGTCCCCTCTTCTTCATGTCTCTTCTACATCAACATGTGTCCCCTCTTCTTCATGTCTCTTCTACATCAACATGTGTCCCCTCTTCTCCATGTCTCTTCTACATCAACATGTGTCCCCTCTTCTTCATGTCTCTTCTACATCAACATGTGTCCCCTCTTCTTCATGTCTCTTCTACATCAACATGTGTCCCCTCTTCTTCATGTCTCTTCTACATCAACATGTGTCCCCTCTTCTCCATGTCTCTTCTACATCAACATGTGTCCCCTCTTCTCCATGTCTCTTCTACATCAACATGTGTCCCCTCTTCTTCATGTCTCTTCTACATCAACATGTGTCCCCTCTCCTTCATGTCTCTTCTACATCAACATGTGTTCCCTCTTCCTCATGTCTCTTCTACATCAACATGTGTCCCCTCTTCTCCATGTCTCTTCTACATCAACATGTGTCCCCTCTTCTCCATGTCTCTTCTACATCAACATGTGTCCCCTCTTCTTCATGTCTCTTCTACATCAACATGTGTCCCCTCTCCTTCATGTCTCTTCTACATCAACATGTGTTCCCTCTTCTTCATGTCTCTTCTACATCAACATGTGTCCCCTCTTCTTCATGTCTCTTCTACATCAACATGTGTCCCCTCTTCATGTCTCTTCTACATCAACATGTGTCCCCTCTTCTTGATGTCTCTTCTACATCAACATGTGTCCCCTCTTCTTCATGTCTTTTCTACATCAACATGTGTCCCCTCTTCTTCATGTCTCTTCTACATCAACATGTGTCCCCTCTTCTTCATGTCTCTTCTACATCAACATGTGTCCCCTCTTCTTCATGTCTCTTCTACATCAACATGTGTCCCCTCTTCTTCATGTCTCTTCTACATCAACATGTGTCCCCTCTTCTCCATGTCTCTTCTACATCAACATGTGTCCCCTCTTCTTCATGTCTCTTCTACATCAACATGTGTCCCCTCTTCATGTCTCTTCTACATCAACATGTGTCCCCTCTTCTTCATGTCTCTTCTACATCAACATGTGTCCCCTCTTCTCCATGTCTCTTCTACATCAACATGTGTCCCCTCTTCTCCATGTCTCTTCTACATCAACATGTGTCCCCTCTTCTTCATGTCTCTTCTACATCAACATGTGTCCCCTCTTCTTCATGTCTCTTCTTCATCAACATGTGTCCCCTCTTCTTCATGTCTCTTCTACATCAACATGTGTCCCCTCTTCTTCATGTCTCTTCTTCATCAACATGTGTCCCCTCTTCTTCATGTCTCTTCTACATCAACATGTGTCCCCTCTTCCTCATGTCTCTTCTACATCAACATGTGTCCCCTCTTCTTCATGTCTCTTCTACATCAACATGTGTCCCCTCTTCTTCATGTCTCTGCTACATCAACATGTGTCCCTCTTCTTCATGTCTCTTCTTCATCAACATGTGTCCCCTCTTCTTCATGTCTCTGCTACATCAACATGTGTCCCCTCTTCTTCATGTCTCTGCTACATCAACATGTGTCCCCTCTTCTTCATGTCTCTTCTTCATCAACATGTGTCCCCTCTTCTTCATGTCTCTTCTTCATCAACATGTGTCCCCTCTTCTTCATGTCTCTTCTACATCAACATGTGTCCCCTCTTCTTCATGTCTCTTCTACATCAACATGTGTCCCCTCTTCTTCATGTCTCTGCTACATCAACATGTGTCCCCTCTTCTTCATGTCTCTTCTTCATCAACATGTGTCCCCTCTTCTTCATGTCTCTTCTACATCAACATGTGTCCCCTCTTCTTCATGTCTCTTCTACATCAACATGTGTCCCCTCTTCTTCATGTCTCTTCTACATCAACATGTGTCCCCTCTTCTTCATGTCTCTTCTACATCAACATGTGTCCCCTCTTCTTCATGTCTCTCCTACATCAACATGTGTCCCCTCTTCTTCATGTCTCTCCTACATCAACATGTGTCCCCTCTTCTTCATGTCTCTTCTACATCAACATGTGTCCCCTCTTCTTCATGTCTCTTCTATGGAAAGCACTGGCAGAACATAAAAGGCAGTAGTAGTTGCGTGTCTTTAGACCAATATATATTTAGTATACACCACATTAAAACAATCCCTACATGTCATATATTTTCAGTTTGTTATTACACAAGTCATCCAGGTGAGGGCGCTGTTGGCTTCAACGTTATCGCTCAAAGCAACACTGAGAATCTCCAATATTGTGACCTAATTGTCCTTTTGTTAGAAACACGAGGACTAAAAGTACACCATTTACCTCTGAACTATAGTGGAGTAGAAGTACAAAGTAGCATAACATGAAAATACTCAAGTAAAGCACAAGTATCTCAAAATTGTAAAATACAGTACTTGAGTAAATGTACTTTATACCTATGACTGTTAGGGATTATTCTGGAAACTTTAAGGCTTTTTACAGTAACTATAGTTGCAGGCCCAAGTTTAACATGAATTCAACATTAAACACAAGTTAATTATTTACACTATTCCATGTATCTAACATTGTTTACGCACTCATTGACTGTGTGTCGCTGTTGCCACCTCTACTAGTCATTTGAGAAACTATTTGAATTTATTATTTATTTATTTCAAATGTGTGTGTGTTGCTTTCAGGTGCTAAAGCCCGGAGGCATGGTGCTGTTCAGAGACTACGGACTGAATGACCACGCCATGCTGAGGTTTAAAGCCGGCAGCAAGCTGGGGGAGAACTTCTACGTCCGGCAAGATGGAACCAGATCATACTTCTTCTCTAAAGGTGAAGAACGAGACCTCCGCAGGGTAGATGGGTGGATAGATATAGATAGATAGATCAGCGACGTGCAGTCAGGGGAGGCAGGGCTTGTCATACTCCAATGTAACGGAAAAACAACTAAAGAAAAACTAAATAATAATAATAATAAAATGTCTCCACTGATCTGTGTTGTAAATTTGATTTATGTATGATTCCAATCGCTTTTTATAGTCAAAATCAGCAAATTTGACGAGCTCCGCTACAACTACGGGTAGCGATGAGAAGTGAGGCAGGGACGAGCTCTGCCTCTCGTAAGCCCACAGTAACTGGCTGGAGCGCGGGCACTAATTTAACGCGGGCATTATTTTGTGAGCGCGCTCAAGCCAGTTACTGTGAGGTGAGGCACAGATGAGATCTGCCTCACCTCAGAATGCGTCACCCCACAGAAACTGGCTGTAAAGCGGGCCCTAAGCGCATGCCTGCACCATCTCACTGTATGTCACCAATGTAATGTTTGTAGATCCCTTTATTACATTTATCCTCGCCATCCATAGTCTCCAAATAACTTATTTCACGTATATATGATATTTAGGCTCGCTGGTCTCATCCTACAACGGCAATGAAAAAAGCACCTGGAGAGGCAGCCATAACCTCTGCCGCACTGCAGGGGGCGCAAGTGAGCCCACAGGTCCTTGTTGCTACTGTTATTCTACGCAGAGACGGTATAGACGCAAACAACAAACTAGACTTTTGAAACTACAGGAAGATAAGGAGGACTTTTACAAAAAAGTAATAGAGATTGTTGTCCAGAAGGATAGCATGGACTTCATCTTCAAGTCAAGGTAAGACCACAATTGTAATGAAAATGGGATCTTACTAAGAAAGAACAATCCAATATTTAGATGTTGGGTATCCTTTTGTTTAACGGTCTGTTTAAAATGAATCGAAGCATCAGACTAAAAAAGCTTTTGAAAATAACCGAATATTTCGATTAAGGTCAAAATATAATATTTGTAAATCTGACTCTGAAAGAGTCAGTGCCTCACCAGCCATGAACCTCACCGCACGTCACTGAGATAGATAGATAGATACAGTGATAGGTGGATAGATTGATGGATTTTTTGTTTTTTCTTCTTCTAAAGTCTATCGTCTGATTTCTCCGCTTGATTTCAGAGTTCCTGTCCGAGCTGTTTGCGGACGCCGGCCTCCAGTCCGTTTCTAATGACTACGTCCTGAGGGAGACCGTCAACAAGAAGGAGGGGCTGTGTGTCCCCAGAGTGTTCCTGCAGAGCAAATTCACCAAGCCCGGCCAATCACAGAGCTCCTGACGCCACCTGGCCAATCACAGAGCTCCTGACGCCACCTGGCCAATCACACAGCTCCTGACGCCACGGAGCCAATCACAGAGCTCCTGGTGCAACCCCTGCCTGTGTGTGTCACCTCAGAAATACGACTGAAATGTCTCGATGACATTTAATGGCGAAAAACAGTTTTATCCCTGCTGGTTTGTGGTCGACGTGCTGCTGATTTTGAGTCCTTCAGATCATGAGGGAGATGCATGAGGTTAAAGAAAGTTAATAATGCCTTCTTCTGTTAATCTACCTCTGTCTTTTGGTCCTTTGCCAAAAGATGAAGCGTCTTACAAGTGGAACTAAAGGGCAGAAAGGAGCATGGATGTTCAGCAAAGCCGTCAGCTGGATGAAAAGTGAAACTCTGGGGATGATATTTAGAGATTCAGATGACTTTCAAATCCATTTCAAAGCCTTTTGTCCAACTTGGATTAGCCTCTAGTGTCAGCAGGAGAACGTCCTCCTTCTAACTGGTGTCTCCTGGCCAAAAGCAGGTGTCTTGAGTGCTTTATTCCACATTATATAAAGTAATGGGATCATTTTGTATGAGGTGAGTGCTTTTAATTTTGTGTGAATTAATGCCTTTTTAAAAAAAATAGCTGTTCTCCTCCACTGTGTTAGTTCACACATGATCTTAAATATGCCCGCAGTGTCACATCCTGTTTATGCTCCTGTTTTAACACGGTTTGCTGTAAACCACTGAGACGGACCGTCATCCTACACACATCAACATCATGACTGTTTCATAATAAAGTTATTTACATCTTCGGTGGTTTCCAAGTATCTCCAAATCACAAGATGATGCTTCCATCAAAATCCTTGAAATATAACAGCAATAACAGATGTGGACTTTTATTATCAGTAATTATAATGTCATTTAAGTCTTCATGAGATAGTTTACTGTGTCCAACGTTCAGACATGTTAAGTCAGTAGGAGGAGTTGAGCCTAGTTTAGACTAATATATATTTCACATTAAAACAATCCCTAAATGTATTACACAAGTCGTCCAGGTGAGGGCGCTGTTGGCTTCAACGTTATCTCACAAAGCAATACTGAACATTTTCCATATTGTGACCTATATATTATTACATTGCATTTAGCTGACGCTTTTATCCGAAGCGACTTACAAGTGTATTCGACCAAGAGGATACAAACTTGAAGAAAACAGAATCATATAAGTACATTAGGTTTCATAGAGCCAAAACATTTATTTATATATATATATATATATATATATATATATATATATATATACATACAGTGGGGCGAAAAAGTATTTAGTCAGCCACCAATTGTGCAAGTTCTCCCACTTAAAAAGATGAGAGAGGCCTGTAATTGTCATCCTAGGTACACTTCAACTATGAGAGACAGAATGGGGGGAAAGAATCCAGGAAATCTGAAGTTTGCTAGAGAGCATTTAGATGATCCAGAAGAGGATTGGGAGAATGTCATATGGTCAGATGAAACCAAAATAGAACTTTTTGGTAAAAACTCAACTAGACGTGTTTGGAGGAGAAAGAATGCTGAGTTGCATCCAAAGAACACCTACTGTGAAACATGGGGGTGGAAACATCATGCTTTGGGGCTGTTTTTCTGCAAAGGGACCAGGACGACTGATCCGTGTAAAGGAAAGAATGAATGGGGCCATGTATCGTGAGATTTTGAGTGACAACCTCCTTCCATCAGCAAGGGCATTGAAGATGAAACGTGGCTGGGTCTTTCAGCATGACAATGATCCCAAACACACCGCCCGGGCAACGAAGGAGTGGCTTCGTAAGAAGCATTTCAAGGTCCTGGAGTGGCCTAGCCAGTCTCCAGATCTCAACCCCATAGAAAATCTTTGGAGGGAGTTGAAAGTCCGTGTTGCCCAGCGACAGCCCCAAAACATCACTGCTCTAGAGGAGATCTGCATGGAGGAATGGGCCAACATACCAGCAACAGTGTGTGAAAACCTTGTGAAGACTTACAGAAAACGTTTGACCTCTGTCATTGCCAACAAAGGGTATATAACAAAGTATTGAGATTAGGGATGCTCCGATCGATCGGTCACCGATCGAGATCAGCCGATACTCACTCTCTACCGATCGATCGGTGCTCTCTAAACATGCCGATCGCGAAAGCTGATCGCATGACTTCAAATACATGACACTTTTCTCTGTGTGCGGCAAAACAAGCTCGCCAAAATGGCTTCACCGGTCTGGCATTATTTTAAGGTGTCCGAAAAAGACAGTAAAATAGCGGTCTGCAACGTGTGTGAAGCAGAAATCCTGCAGCTCCGCCCGCCGGACAGGTAAGCGCAGCGAAACACACACACACACACAGGGAGAACCAGACCGCAGTTCTTTTCCTCATATTCCAAACGAGAAATTACGGTAGCAAATCACCCGGTTCTTTTCGACCAGAACTATTAACGGGATACAAACCGGAGGAACCAGGCATGGAGGGAGGTGGCAGAGACAGTGGGTGAAACTGGTAGGTTTTCGCCTGTTTGGGGAGTTTATATATAGGCTATATATATTGCTTGCATAAAATCCCCGGGGTTTTTTGCTTTGTATGTCGGGGGCGGGAGATTCATGTGATTGGTTGTTGGTCGCGTTGCTCGCAAAAAATCCCCAAGCTTTCAGACACGCCCAGCTCCAAGATTTTCAAGATTTTTGAAAAGCTGCTGTGTGGACGTATCGTAAGAGGAGTTAGACCTAACACACTTAGCTATTTTATCTACCTCTGGAACAAGCTAAACTAGTTATTATAAATATATGTATTCTTCATTGTCGGGTCCCTATTACTGGATCAGTGAGCTGCATGAGATACTGACAGGCTGTCAGGAGAGGGAGAGAGGAAAAGAGAGCGCTTCCGCTAATTTCTCCCGTGTTATTATCCAAAGTGAATGTAAACTTGAATAATGTACATCATTTGAATGTAATAATTAAGTTGATTGTCGTTTGTGGAAGCTCCAGTGAATCAGCCCCATTAACTGAGTTTTAAACATCACTTTAAATGGAAGATTTAAAGTGATGTTTAAATCTTCCATTTAGGCCCCGCCCACTCGATCGGATCGGCGATCGGTATCGGCCGATACTGATTCCGGCGATCGGCCCCGAAATTGGCGATCGGAGCATCCCTAATTGAGATGGACTTTTGTTATTCACCAAATACTTATTTTCCACCATAATTTGCAAATAAATTCTTTAAAAATCAGACAATGTGATTTCCTGGATTATTTCCCCCCATTCTGTCTCTCATAGTTGAGGTGTACCTAGGATGAAAATTACAGGCCTCTCTCATCTTTTTAAGTGGGAGAACTTGCACAATTGGTGGCTGACTAAATACTTTTTTGCCCCACTGTATATATATTACAGGAAGTGACTAACAACATATATATATATCCTGTTGTTAGTCACTTCCTGTGACTCATGATGGTTTTACACTTCCTGTCCAGTTTGTGGGCTAAGAGCAGATGATACAGTATCAGACACCAGTGTTTCCCCTAGGATGGAGTCATAGTAGCGGTGCTAAGGCACGTGGAATTTTGTAGTGTTTGCACGTGCGAAGTGTGCCCCGCCAATTTGTTTCTATGTGTCTGCCAGCACAAGAAAGGCTCTTGAGGCCTAGTATCAGGGCCGGTTCTAGCCAATTTGCTGCCCTTGGCGAGATTTTATATATGAAGAATAAATTAAAAATCTCTACAAAAGACAAATACACTACAAAAACAGAAACTTATTGACAAAGGTAATATACGTCAAAATGGCTTCAAATGTATTCAGTATTGTGTGAACATGTTTTAATTGGGGGGTGGAGCTGCGGGTGCCTGATAAGCTAACATCCCCCACTTTCATCACTTACAGCGCCTATGTCAAAAATCGGCCCTGCCAGTACATACAGTGGCCATTTGTATATAGGGGGAAACACTGGAGACTGAAACCGCAAAATGACAATAATAACCATGGTTGTTTTTCACAACACACCTTTTCTAACCCAGTAATTGATTTAATAACTTCATCAGCAGATATTTTTGTAAGCTTTAAGATGGAGACATTTCAAGCCATAGCTTTCCCTCAGATATTCAAATGTGTCAAACTGTGCTCTGTTAACCCTTATTCATCTCTATTTTAAATGACATTTTGAGGTTACATGATTTGGCACTTTTTTCGAGTACACCTGATCATTTATTTATAATTTCCAAGGACTCTTATCCCTCTCAATGGTAGCCAACATATGTTAACTTAATACCACCTAATTAAAAATGTGTTCCTCTCTTGATGCTGAATTGATGATGAATTAAAAAGGTGAAATCGTAGAAGAAATATTATAAAAATATAACATTTTCCTTTAATCTTTATCACCAAATTGTACTACTTTTTGTTTTTGCTGGAATAAAGTTCATTTATAAGATAAGACATTTTCAAAGTGCTATTCAATGAATGTAATGTAACGTAATAGATCAACTGTCTTAAGGATTGTTCTGGAAACATTACGGCTTGTTATAGATGGATGACAGAACAACTAAGGAAGGGATCATTTTCTTCTTTGTAATTTCAATGAAACACTCAGAAATACAAATATCTACCTTTTGTAATATATGGTAATACTTTGCAGCACAGGTGAAATGGTACGGTTACATTGGACTACTGTGAATGGCTCTAAAAAAATGACTTCCTGTTCAGGCTGTTGGAAAAAAACAAAAGTGTGAAAGTCACATCGAGCGGGGAGTTAACGGTACCTCTCGGCCTTTCTTAGAAACATGATTTGATATTGAGTTTGACTAAGTGCATTTTAAAGATTGTATGAAAACCAAAAGTGCACACGGCATTCATTTGAGTCAAGTAAATATGGAAAATTCTCTGTATTGCTTTGCGAGAAGCCAACAGCGTCCTCTGTTACTGCCATCAAAAAGAAACCATTTTATTATCTGAGGACGGTTTGAATGTTTTAAAACAGTCAAACTTCTGCGCCAAGTAAGGCCACAGTATAGATTACAAATATTCATCTCGCCCTACGTGCAAAACGACAAACTCTTATCAGAGCAGGGTCGAAGGGACAACATTTATGTCAGTAGTTCAAACAAAATGAAGTCCTTTTACAAATTTCAAAACCCCCTCACAATGCACATGACTCATCTTGATGTGTACGTGACTTAAGAGACGCTTTTGAAACCTCACACTCTGACTGATGCAGCTTCCTGTCCTGTGGTTTGTCGTTTGCATCCCACTAGTAGTACGTTGAAATAGAATCACATCTGCAGGTTTTATTGTTGACAGTATTTATTTACTGAGCAACACAGCTTCAATCTCAGTTAAATATATATGTGCTTAATTAAATGATGTGTGCAAAGAATAGGAAGGAATCTCTTATTGATTAACAATGAAAGTGAACTAAGTTCTTTGGTCTTCATGCTTTTGAGATTATTAACATTTGTAAAAATCAGACTTTTGTGAGTGAAATAAATCCGATATGTTTGGCTAACTCTTGCTGCTGCCGCTCTGTGTTCTGTCGTTGATGTTTTTCGGCCCTCAGACAGGAGTGGAAAGGAAACTGAATTAGGGTAGACGGCTCAGAGCTTCGCACGCCTTGATACTAATGTTAGCTTTTCATAGTTGCACTGGAAGTCAGAAGTCAGCAGGTATTTAAAGATACTGTTGGTTTAGTAATTTTTTAGCAGAGGTTTTCGCTATTCTGACAGAGACTGGGGTCCTCTTTTTTAGCATTTACTTAATAAATGTTGCAGGGCTGTGTCCCCCAAAACAGACAGTCTTTTGCCAGGAAAAGTGTATTTTCAAATTACACACGATTGTAATTATTATTTTGACTGTAGTCACAGAACCAAATAACTTCTGCAATCCCGTCTTTGTGCCGATGTTCTGAAAATTATGTCTGTATTGAAATATAGTTCATGTTTAAATGGATACGATATCCGGACACATCAATGTCTGTTCTCGGTGTATTCAGCAAATTAGCTTCCTGACAGCAAAGTACTTCATTCAACATCATAAAACATTTAGCTAAAAACCAACATTCGAAAATCAATACATACAAAACAAATGTATATTGTTGCGCAATATACACGTCATCATGTCGCACACCTAGAAAAGGAAAATATTTGGCTTTGGAAAGAACGTATGTTATTCTTCATCTTTGTTTGATTTATTCAATTTACTTAAAATAGAAGAGTGAAAAGGTTTGTCTCGAGATGCTTCTAGAAGATATGGTCTGGTCCACGGTTCAACCTGCAGAACAAGACGAGAGGACAGGACAAGGCATCAGTTTGCATTCAAAGTATCAACAATAACATTTATTTTCTTTCACTATATCCAGTAAAGAAGTATGATACAATTTCTGCAGGAAAAATATAGAAAGTAAGGACGATTCATCCTCAGGGGAACATGAACACCTGGACTATATTTCTATGCAATCCATTCAATATTTGATATTTCAGTCTGCCCAAACTGGTGGACAGACCAAAGTCTTTAAATGGCCACACTGGTTTTTATATCAGTGTATTTTACTACTGCAATCTTTTAAATAAATAGCTTTTTTAGAGCTTACAGAACTGTATTCATGAGCCGAGGTACTCCATTACAATGCCAAAACAAACTCTACCTGAAGTAGAACGGGAATCTGTCTTGGTTTCAAGACCCCGGTTCACGGAGGATACCAAAAAAGTCCTAGAATAACAATGTACACTAACTAATGTGGATTTAAAAAAGAGGAAAGGTACCGTGGGGTCAGATTATAATTTACCAAAGAGGGTTTCGTTTAGCATGAAATAACTGAAGGATAAGTTCAAAAAGAAAGTAGAAAGAAAGTCAAAGAAAACTATTTCTGCTAAAAAGTGAGCAATGACAGTCAGAGCTGAACATTTCACACGGCACTGTCACTTTAATTCATGTATCTTTGTTATTCATGTTTTATTGTCTTTGCTTTTAAAGGAGTGTTTTTAAATGCCATTTTATAATATGTTTCTTAATGTCTTTTATTTTTGTAAAGCACTTTGAATGGCCTTGTGTTGAAAGGTGCTGGATGCATGAACTTGCCTTGCATTGCCTTGCCTTGCCTAAAGTACAAAGTAAAGAGGCAATTTCTACCTGTGACATTGATCGTGATGAACAGTCCCATTGCCGTCTTAACCCCCTCCTCACATTCAGCCTGGCACTGAAACTGACCGGCGTCCTCTGGAGACACGTTGAGGATCTCCGTCACCACCTGTCTGCGTCTGATGTTGTCTTCAGAGAACGTCTCGTTCACCGTGGTGAAGAACCTTCTGGGGTCCGTCAGCTCGACACTTTGCTTCCCGACATCAACCCAGACAACATGCAGCTGACTGCATTGCTCAAAGTCATAGACGGCATCGCAGGAGAGCTGGACAGAGGATCCTCTGGCTGTGGTGATGATGCCCCCTTTATATAGGACCTCCACGGGAACTACAGCAGGAAACAAAATGAAGAACTGTTATTCCACCTTCTTCGGTCTTAAAATTATTCACTTTAAATAGCTTCAATTCTATTATGATTGTTCTGGGTTTCTCTTCTCCTTTGTTTTCTATAGTGACATCACTATGTAAAACGCTTCTATTGGTTTGCGTTTCAACACATTGTACGTGATAGGGTAAGGGGCGGGACATCTCCAAGCAGTTGACCAATCACAACAGAGCCGGCCAGCTAACCAATCAGAGCAGACTGGGCTCTGGTTTCAGACAGAGGGTGAAAAGAAGTGCTGCAGCACAGACAGTATGAGAACAATAAAGAGCTTTTTGAACATTAAAGCATGGAGACATGTAGAGACACTACATACTGATATACACCTGAACATCAACAGGAGAGGACTCTTTAAAGTAGAGACACTACATACTGATATACACCTGAACATCAGCAGGAGAGGACTCTTTAAAGTAGAGACACTACATACTGATATACACCTGAACATCAACAGGAGAGGACTCTTTAAAGTAGAGACACTACATACTGATACACACCTGAACATCAGCAGGAGAGGACTCTTTAAAGTAGAGACACTACATACTGATATACACCTGAACATCAGCAGGAGAGGACTCTTTAAAGTAGAGACACTACATACTGATATACACCTGAACATCAGCAGGAGAGGACTCTTTAAAGTAGAGACACTACATACTGATATACACCTGAACATCAGCAGGAGAGGACTCTTTAAAGTAGAGACACTACATACTGATATACACCTGAACATCAGCAGGAGAGGACTCTTTAAAGTAGAGACACTACATACTGATATACACCTGAACATCAGCAGGAGAGGACTCTTTAAAGTAGAGACACTACATACTGATATACACCTGAACATCAGCAGGAGAGGACTCTTTAAAGTAGAGACACTACATACTGATATACACCTCAACATCAGCAGGAGAGGACTCTTTAAAGTAGAGACACTACATACTGATATATACCTGAACATCAGCAGGAGAGGACTCTTTAAAGTAGAGACACTATATACTGATATACACCTGAACATCAGCAGGAGAGGACTCTTTAAAGTAGAGACACTACATACTGATATATACCTGAACATCAGCAGGAGAGGACTCTTTAAAGTAGAGACACTATATACTGATATACACCTGAACATCAGCAGGAGAGGACTCTTTAAAGTAGAGACACTATATACTGATATACACCTGAACATAGCTTAAAGGGGCCCTCTTATGCTTTTCTGGGTTTCTCTTCTCCTTTGTTTACTTCAGTAACATAGTGGCATCACTGTGTAAAACGTTTGCGCTCAAACACATTATACGTGATCTCTAAGCTGTTGACCAATCACAACAGAGCCTTCCAGCTAACAAATCAGAGCAGACTGGGCTCTGGATCTTTTTCGTGGCTAGAACCTAAAAACATCAGCGTTGTCGTCTTGTCAATTTCCCCCCATTTCCCTCACAGAAAAGGCTCATAGTAATAAATGTCAGCCTCAATGATAAAGTGCCATTTCAGTCAGATTTGCATATCTGCTGGTATCAAAACTGCAAAAGGTAAAGAGTGAAACAATGCCTATAGGGCGCCTTTTCATCTCTGGTAATATTCTCCGGCTGCACTCCACGACACAGCCTTATTTGCCTGAGCTGTATTTGCAATCTCTTAAGGTGGGCTGGACTGTATTATAATTGTCCTTGAGATAAACCAAGTTCATTTTTTTGTGCTGCAGCAAATTTTCCCCGCGAGAAACGATTTTGAGCAACAAATAGACACTTCTAAATTGTCGTGTAACATTTTTGATATCATATTTTATGCCCTCTCTACTTGTTTTGTTCCTGTTGCCTTATTTGCCTGAGCTGAGCTGTATTTGCATCGGGGAATTTGGCTTCTATTAACTTCCCCATACAACCAGGGCGTCATTGTAAACAAGGACTGAACACGACACCACTCCTCTTGGACTCTGGAATGTAGTACAACCTGTCCAACACTCCCTTTTTTCCCTCTCAGGAAATCTATTCAATATTCACATTTAGCATAGAGTGAAATGGCGCTGCAGCTAGACCAGGAGAAGCTCTGCTGCCCTGTTTGTCTGGATCTACTGAAGGATCCGGGGACTCTTCCCTGCGGACACAGCTTCTGCATGAGCTGTATTGAAAGCCACTGGGATGGAGAGGATCCGAAGACAATCTACAGCTGCCCTCAGTGCAAACAGACCTTCACCCCGAGGCCTGTCCTGGGGATAAGTACCATGTTTGCTGATTTACTGGAAGCGCTGAAGAAGACGGTTCCGGTTGATTACTTTTATGCCGCTCCCGGAGATGTGGCCTGTGATTTCTGCACTGGAAGAAAGCTGAAAGCCCTGAAGTCCTGTCTGGTGTGTCGGGTCGCTTACTGTGAGCTCCACCTTCAGCCTCACTATGAATCTCCTGCCTTTAAAACGCACCAGCTGATTAAACCCTCCGAAAACCTGCAGGAGAAGTTTTGCTCCCGCCACGACGAGGTGATGAAGATTTTCTGCCGCACTGATCAGCAAACCATATGTATTTTGTGCTCCATGGATGACCATAAGGACCATGACACGGTCTCAGCTGCCGTAGAAAGGAAAGAGAAGAGGAGCGAAATTGGGATGAGTCTGCAGAAAATCAAGCAAAGGATCGATGACAGAGAGAAGGACGTGAAGGCGCTTCAGCAGGAGATGTTGGAAATCAATGCCTCTGCTGATGAGGCAGTGAAGAACAGCGAGATGATTTTACAACAGCTTGTCAGTCTCATTGAGAAAAAAGGCTCCGCTGTAAAGGATGAAATCAGATCCCAGCAGAAAATTGAAGTCAGCCGGGTCAAAGAGCTTCAGGAGAAGATGGAGGAGGAGATCGCTCAACTGAGGAGGAAGGACGCTGAGCTGGAGCATCTGTCACACACCGATGACCACATCCTCTTTCTACATAAATACCCTTTGCTGTCGAATCTCAGTGAATCTGACTCACCCAGATTCAAAATCCAATCCCTGAAACACTTTGAAGATGTGGAAGTAGCTGTGACAGAGGCCCGCGATAAACTACGAGACATTCTCAACGAGGAAGGGCTGAAGATCTCACTAAAAGTCAGCGAGGTAGATGTCTTACTGCCACAACCAGAGCCCAAGACCAGAGACGAATTCCTAAAATACTCCCGTCAAATCACACTGGATCCCAACACTGTTAACACGGGGCTGTCGTTATCTGAAGGGAACAGAAAAGCAACAGTTGTGAGAGAAAAGCAATCATATCTCAGTCACCGAGACAGATTTTCCGACTGTCTTCAGGTCCTGAGTAGAGAGAGTCTGACTGGACGTTGTTACTGGGAGGTGCAGAGAGGCAGTGGAGGCGTTTCAGTGTCCGTTTCATACAAGGATATCAGCAGAACAGGGAGTGAAAGTGGATTTGGAGACAATGACAAGTCGTGGGCATTAGGATGCTTCGATATAAGTTATAACTTCAGACATAACAACATCAGAACTGTGCTCTCAGGCCCTCAGTCCTCTACGATAGGAGTTTACCTGGATCACAAGGCAGGAGAACTGTCCTTCTACAGCGTCTCTGACACGATGACTCTCCTCCACAGAGTCCAGAAAACATTCACTCAGCCGCTTCAAGCTGGACTTTGGGTTTATTGGGTTGGAGACACTGCTGAGTTGTGTGAGCTTAAGTAGACAGGAGCCATTAGCCGCTTTCTTGTCCCCGGTACTTAGTCCCCCCGAACTCTTTAGTCAGAAATTGTTAGTGTGACCGACACGATCCATTTCCTCCCCAGGAAAGTACCCATACCTCTCTAGCAGGGACTATCTGGGGGTGAAAAGGTTTGCGCGAACTAGGGACTAGTTCCAGATCTTTTTGGTGTGAAACCAAATCGCCGCTTTCACACCAAGTACTTTGCCGCACTTAGTTCCCAGCACTTACTTCCCAGCACTTAGTTCCCAGCACTTAGTTCCCAGCACTTAGTTCCCAGCACTTAGTTCCCAGCACTTAGTTCCCAGCACTTAGTTCCCAGCACTTAGTTCCCAGCCTTTAGTACCCAGCACTTAGTACCCCCATGGAACTAAGAGCCGATCGCGTTCACACTGGAATAAGTTCCCTGAGGGAAGATTACGCAAATCTACGGATTTACTTCCGAGTAAATCGCCAGAATGCCGACACCTCCTCATCACTCCACCACTCCCATGTTTTTTTGTTGTGTTGCCATAAGTTATTCTCTCTCCGTTGGTGCACGTGGCTAATGCTAATGCTAATAATGGTAATGCCAGCAAATACAATGGCGGCTTCACAAAACTTTTCCGAGTTTTACGGGGCGTGGTTTGCAATTCGCCCCCAGGATAGTACCACCTCTCTAGCAGGCACTAAAAAGGGGGTAACAGTTCTCATGAACTAAGTTCTCTTTTTGGTGTGAACGCAAAATCCCAGGAACTATCGGAACTAAACGGGAAAAGTACTAAGAGGTGGTGTTGTGTTATTTGTTTAGTTTGCCTTTTCTTACACTGTGTTCTTGCTGTGGGCATGCAGTGCTTTTTAGACCACATGGTAATCTCACAAGGTGGTCTTGACTGTATGATATTCTTCCTTGAGATACACCCAGTTATTTTATGTTTTCTAGCACAAACTTGTAAAAAATAAACTTGTACATCATTTTTTGTGCTCTAGCTAATCGATTTTGAGCAGCAAATGGACACTTCTAAATTGTTGTGTTACATTTTTTATATCATATGTTGTTCTCGTTATATGTAAAATATTTATTGAATTATTGAATGTGCACATTGGTCAGAAAGCATAAGCATGACATGCGGCACAAAAGCTGTCTTCGGAACATGTTACGTGGATTTTACAGAAATGTCTTCAACTTAGAATCCATCGCATTTGTTGATGTGTTTGTTTTCATGTTTTTGGCAGAGATAGTGCACTACAAATGTAAACTACTGTAGCTTCTATTCTAGGCTGTCTGCTTCTGTGCTTCTGCTTCTGCTTCTTCTTATCTGCTTCTGCTTCTGCTTCTGTCTATTGAGCCCATGTCCTATTTTTATATTAACCCATAGATGTTCATGAAAAAAACACAGCACAGCAGTAGCTTGTACAAACACATACGGTTACTATAAATAAATCAAATAAAAAAAGATTAGGACTGGTATGTAAAATGCTCTCTTGATAGTTAAACCATATTACTACACACTTTGAGAAATATTCCCATTATTCAAAGTTTGTTACACTATATTTAAACTTTATGGGATTTTTGTTATGCTCCTGGCTCCAAGCTTGGTCTCATTTAAGCCGGCATTTACTTACAGACAACTCGATGTTAGCGAGCTAAACCATATTGTTTTTGTTTAAAAAAGAGAAAGGGGGGACCCAAGTTCCCATCAGCAAAAACACGTGGGTTTGCTATCCTGGCTCCTAAATGGTGGAATGAGCTCCCCATTGACATCAGGACAGCAGAAAGCTTACACACCTTCCGGCGCAGACTGAAAACTCATCTCTTTCGACTCCACTTCGAGCGATAGAACTATTAACAAAGCACTTATATACTAATAAAGGACTGGCTTACCTAAAGCCAGTTGAGTAGCACTTGAAATGTTTGGCTCTATGAAACCTGATGTACTTATATGATTCTGTTTTCTTCAAGGTTGTGTCTTCCTGGTCGAATGTACTTATTGTAAGTCGCTTTGGATAAAAGCGTCAGCTAAATGCAATGTAATGTAATAAAGTAATAAAGAAAAAAATAACACGTGTAGAAACCGTTGTACCAAAATATGTGAACTAACCTTTTTCCTCGGCAGAAAACACACACAAAGTCATCAACAGCAGCACCGTAGGTGCTTTAAAACAAGTCATTCTCCAACAGACACACACAGGAAGGTCGATGAAAACGAGGGGCCACAGCATTAGATGAAATGTCAGAGACAAGCTGAGTGTATCATCCGTTACTAAGTTGCGTGGTCTGCACAATGTGTGTGTCTGCATGATGTGTGTGTGTCTCTGTGGTGTGGGTGGAGAATATACGCAGCAGTGTTCCATTCCCTCTGACCACTGGAAACTTAACACCTTACTTTGATCGTTGATAGGTTTCCTTTTCGTTGTTACGTTTTTGGTGTTGCATAATATACTTCTTATATTACCGTTAATACATTTTTCTTTTTCACTGATAAGTTTATTATAATTCAAGCAGTTATCATCTATCATAGGGCATCTAAACAATTGTCAGGTACATATCAGTATGTAGTGTCTCTACTTTAAAGAGTCCTCTCCTGCTGATGTTCAGGTGTATATCAGTATGTAGTGTCTCTACTTTAAACAGTCCTCTCCTGCTGATGTTCAGGTGTATATCAGTATGTAGTGTCTCTACTTTAAAGAGTCCTCTCCTGCTGATGTTCAGGTATATATCAGTATGTAGTGTCTCTACTTTTAAAGTAAAGAGTCCTCTCCTGCTGATGTTCAGGTGTATATCAGTATGTAGTGTCTCTACTTTAAAGAGTCCTCTCCTGCTGATGTTCAGGTGTATATCAGTATGTAGTGTCTCTACTTTAAAGAGTCCTCTCCTGCTGATGTTCAGGTGTATATCAGTATGTAGTGCCTCTACTTTAAAGAGTCCTCTCCTGCTGATGTTCAGGTATATATCAGTATGTAGTGTCTCTACTTTAAAGAGTCCTCTCCTGATGATGTTCAGGTGTATATCAGTATGTAGTGTCTCTACTTTAAAGAGTCCTCTCCTGCTGATGTTCAGGTGTATATCAGTATGTAGTGTCTCTACTTTAAAGAGTCCTCTCCTGCTGATGTTCAGCTGTATATCAGTATGTAGTGTCTCTACTTTAAAGAGTCCTCTCCTGCTGATGTTCAGATGTATATCAGTATGTAGTGTCTCTACTTTAAAGAGTCCTCTCCTGCTGATGTTCAGGTGTATATCAGTATGTAGTGTCTCTACTTTAAAGAGTCCTCTCCTGCTGATGTTCAGGTGTATATCAGTATGTAGTGCCTCTACTTTAAAGAGTCCTCTCCTGCTGATGTTCAGGTGTATATCAGTATGTAGTGCCTCTACTTTAAAGAGTCCTCTCCTGCTGATGTTCAGGTGTATATCAGTATGTAGTGCCTCTACTTTAAAGAGTCCTCTCCTGCTGATGTTCAGGTATATATCAGTATGTAGTGTCTCTACTTTAAAGAGTCCTCTCCTGATGATGTTCAGGTGTATATCAGTATGTAGTGTCTCTACTTTAAAGAGTCCTCTCCTGCTGATGTTCAGGTGTATATCAGTATGTAGTGTCTCTACTTTAAAGAGTCCTCTCCTGCTGATGTTCAGGTGTATATCAGTATGTAGTGTCTCTACTTTAAAGAGTCCTCTCCTGCTGATGTTCAGGTGTATATCAGTATGTAGTGTCTCTACTTTAAACAGTCCTCTCCTGCTGATGTTCAGGTGTATATCAGTATGTAGTGTCTCTACTTTAAAGAGTCCTCTCCTACTGATGTTCAGGTATATATCAGTATGTAGTGTCTCTACTTTAAAGAGTCCTCTCCTGATGATGTTCAGGTGTATATCAGTATGTAGTGTCTCTACTTTAAAGAGTCCTCTCCTGCTGATGTTCAGGTGTATATCAGTATGTAGTGTCTCTACTTTAAAGAGTCCTCTCCTGCTGATGTTCAGGTGTATATCAGTATGTAGTGTCTCTACTTTAAAGAGTCCTCTCCTGCTGATGTTCAGGTGTATATCAGTATGTAGTGCCTCTACTTTAAAGAGTCCTCTCCTGCTGATGTTCAGGTGTATATCAGTATGTAGTGTCTCTACTTTAAAGAGTCCTCTCCTGCTGATGTTCAGATGTATATCAGTATGTAGTGTCTCTACTTTAAAGAGTCCTCTCCTGCTGATGTTCAGGTGTATATCAGTATGTAGTGTCTCTACTTTAAAGAGTCCTCTCCTGCTGATGTTCAGCTGTATATCAGTATGTAGTGCCTCTACTTTAAAGAGTCCTCTCCTGCTGATGTTCAGATGTATATCAGTATGTAGTGTCTCTACTTTAAAGAGTCCTCTCCTGCTGATGTTCAGGTGTATATCAGTATGTAGTGTCTCTACTTTAAAGAGTCCTCTCCTGCTGATGTTCAGGTGTATATCAGTATGTAGTGCCTCTACTTTAAAGAGTCCTCTCCTGCTGATGTTCAGGTGTATATCAGTATGTAGTGCCTCTACTTTAAAGAGTCCTCTCCTGCTGATGTTCAGGTGTATATCAGTATGTAGTGTGTAGTGCTTGGAGATTTCACGTAGAATGTGTTGGAACGCTAGCCAATAAGAGTGTGAGTGAGAAACTCCCTCTGGAGGGAACACAGGGATTTTAGCCATTGAAGACCATTTACATGCACTAAAACCTATATTACACACTACAGGAGATGGAAAATCACCCCGAAAAGCAGAATAGGGCCCCTTTAACAATGTTTACTGTGTGTTTGTAAGAGCAGTGTTACTTGTTCTTAAGTTGCTTTGAACTCTTCACCCAAAATGCAGTCTTATTTAATAAATGTTGGAACTTGTCTTTAAAATCAGGAGAGACTTCGTTTTTTGTTTAGAGAACATGCACCGTATGATATAAATGTTAATAGTCTTTGGGGATTAGACCTTGATCCTGATATCGTATGTGTCTTAGGGGGGAAGTGCAGCCGTGAGTATAAAGGACCCCCAAAGTGGAGTGAATTAATGTATACCCAGTCTTCCTGCTTGAACTTGCGCTGAGCTTCGTATACTGTGCATATGTGTGGAACATGCATTGTTATGCTATGTACATTTGATCCCCTTTGTATTGTTGATCATTTTTGTAACTTCTTTTAAGTAATTTTAAAGGTATGGGCATCACGCTGCGTTATTTATTAGTAAGTAAGGAAGTGATAGGATGCTCTTCCTTTGTAAAAGGGAATTGTATTTACCCATGATTTCACCCTGTGTGTGTACAGTTCATGCAGCCAAAGTGACAGCCAACATCCCAGAGTGAAGACATCAATGTGTTCGCTTGGTGCAAACAGCTCCCCCTTGTGGAGAATCTGCAGCTAAATGTGAGAAAGTTATAAGTCAGTTTTAGGGCCTGGACTCTAGATGTTATTGTATACCACTGGTTTAGTCTTTTGATTCTCAACTAAGTCGAGCATTAACACCTTATTTGGTTATCTGTGGATGGTGACACCATTGTTTGTGTGGCATTGCATCATTATCAGATGGAATAAATAAGGATGTATGAATTCACACCTACACACACACCACAAGGCTAATAAAAATGGTGACAACTCACACGGAATGACAGTGGTCCATTTAGCCGTTGGTTGGAGACTGTTACTGTAAGAAAAATGAGAAAAATTGAGACAGGAGAGTATGTCAACTCACCAGCTAATGAAAGGACAAATGGAGAGGAACAAAGAGAACCACGTACAGGTCAGAATACTTTAAGTAATTTGAAGTTTTTTGTTTTATCTGATCATTTCATCTTTGGAGGCAGCTTGCAACATTTGTCATGTGATTCATGCTAATTAAATATATTGGTTTGCAAGCTGTTATGGAAATCTTAGACCTAGTCATTACTGTGGAGATACACAAGTCAGAAATATCAAACAATAAATGGTGAAACAGACAGAGTTGTCTTTCGGGTTATTTATTTGAGGCCTCAAAGACACAGGTCTCACAGAACACAAGGTATCCTGAGAGAGTGCGCGCAGAGTGAAAGATGCATACAGGTTATATAGGATTTTGTCAGTTCAACAACATTTCGTCACTTATTAGGAGGGGCCCTGGCAGGAGAGATAAGCTTTCCAAAGGAACTGAAACTGTCAATCACTAATAGATTGAACCAGGGGCCTGTTCAGCAAGAGGGAAGTGAGGAAACTTGTCAGCAGCAGATGGAGGGCTAAGAAATGGGGAACTTAATTATAAGACAGGGAAACTAACAGGAACTTGCCCATTGCCCTGCGCTTGGTACCCAGCCCCTCATCAAGTTCAGACCTTAGATGACCTTAAATGTCACTTTCCAGGGAGGCAAAGGACATGAACTAAAACACATCACCCAGACCTTACTTCAACGTTTTTAAAGGTCATGAGTGTCAATACATCATTACAGACACTGTCGCAAAATGCTGACAGAGGTTATAAGCTGAAATACATTATTATAGGAACTGCTGAAAGTGCTAACAGAGGTTACAAGCAAAACACATCATTCTAGGAACTGCAATTGATGTGTCCATGTAAGGTAAAATATAAAGTCTGCACTATAAGAAAACTTTAAACTACATATATGTAAAGTTTGCCATTACAAAGCTTTCTTTAATAAATGATATCATTTTGTATTGAATGTGTGTAATGAATCCTGCAAGTTAGCGTTTTTACATTTTAAATATAATTCTATTTTAATAGTAAATCTTCTAAAAGGCTTGTTTACTGTTGAAAGTCCCTCGTTTCATGTTGGTGTGGACATTATTAACAACTTTATCTTCTAACTAGTCTAGATTAATGTAAATCTACAAATGTAAAATGGTAGCTTCTATTTACGGTAAAAGTAAACAAGTTCATCAGTGACATCAATGTCATAGAAATCTTGAAAAAAAAACACTTCCTCTTTTGTCAACCCCAAAAACATCAAGATAGTGTAATTTATTCCACCATTATTAGTCATCTCTCTTTTCATGGTTAAGTTGGTTATTGTACATAAACAGATATGATTATACATATATGTTAATTATATACGGTATATAATAAACATTTAAGTAGAAAACCAAAAGGGCTTGAAATGCAATAGTTTCAAAAATGGAACTAACTCTAAAAAAATGCATAAGTATAACTGGTAATAACATTTCCTTATGTTGATATATACGTATATGTGTTGGTATAATTAAAGTGCTATGTTGGTTTTTAACCTGTAGGAGCATCAAAAACCTACATTTTGGTGGCAGTCAGTTTCGGCCTGCTGTGCATCGTACAGTCTGCTCTCAATATTTCTTATTGGCTGCAAAATGGTGAGTATCAGCCCCCACTTTTCACATTAACTACAAACACACACACACACAGACACATGCACACACACACATGCACGCGTGCACACACACACACACACACAGCTGAAACATTTCAAAGATTTCAGGAAGTGGATCTTCTGTAGAGGTAATAAAATAACGAATTTGAAGTTGTAAATAAAATGAACTTGGATATGTTTTAAAAGATTGTGCATAATGAAACCACTGAGTCCAACCAACAGTTGATGTTATCTATTTTTTTTAACTGTCTGCAATTTGATTTAGTCCCAAAACACTTAACTCTGATTCCCTTTCTAGCAGAGTGTTGTATCCAGTCACACAACATTTCAACAAACAATTTCACCAAGGTGTGTGCCGGTGACATCGAAGCCCTGATTTTGGAGAGAAACCAACTGGTTCAAGAGAGAAATCAACTGGTTAGAGAGAACGAGCAACTGGTTCAGGATAAGAATCAACTGCTTCGAGAGAAAACCCACCTGATTCAAGAGAGAGACGGACTGGTTCAAGAGAGATACAAACTGGTTCAAGAGAGAGACGGACTGGTTCAACAGAGGGACAGACTGGTTCAAGAGAGAGACGGACTGGTTCAACAGAGAGACGGACTGGTTCAAGAGAGAGACGGACTGGTTCAAGAGAGAGACGGACTAGTTCAACAGAGTGACAGACTGGTTCAAGAGAGAGACGGACTAGTTCAAGAGAGAGACAGACTGGTTCAAGAGAGAGACGGACTGGTTCAAGAGAGAGACGGACTGGTTCAAGAGAGAGACGGACTGGTTCAAGAGAGAGACGGACTGGTTCAAGAGAGAGACGGACTGGTTCAAGAGAGAGACAAACTGGTTCAAGAGAAAGACCAACTGGTTCAAGATTCTAAGCAACTGGTTCAAGACAAAAAGCTTCTGGGTCAAGAAAGAGACCAACTGGTTAGAGATAACAAGCAACTGGTTCAAGAGAAATACAAACTGGTTCAACAGAAAGACAAACTGGTTCAAGACAAAGACGGACTGGTTCAAGAGAAAAACAAACTGGTTCAACAGAAAGACCAACTGGTTTAACAGAAAGACCAACTGGTTCAACAGAAAGACAAACTGGTTTAACAGAAAGACAAACTGGTTCAAGAGAGAGACGGACTGACTCAAGAGAGAGACGGACTGGTTCAAGAGAAAGATGGACTGGTTCAAGGGAGAGATGGACTGGTTCAAGAGAGAGATGGACTGGTTCAAGAGAGAGATGGACTGGTTCAAGAGAAAGATGGACTGGTTCAAGAGAAAGACAAACTGGTTCAAGAGAGAGATGGACTGGTTCAAGAGAGAGACAAACTGGTTCAAGAGAAAGATGGACTGGTTCAAGAGAAAGATGGACTGGTTCAAGAGAAAGATGGACTGGTTCAAGAGAAAGACAAACTGGTTCAAGAGAAAGATGGACTGGTTCAAGAGAAAGACAAACTGGTTCAAGAGAAAGATGGACTGGTTCAAGAGAAAGATGGACTGGTTCAAGGGAAAGATGGACTGGTTAAAGAGAAAGATGGACTGGTTCAAGAGAAAGATGGACTGGTTCAAGATAAAGACCAACTGGTTCAAGAGAAAGATCAGATGGTTCAGATGGTTAGCGAACAACAAAATCAGATAAATCATCTTCAATCAGGTGCGTGAGTTTCTTCTTTTTGAAACTATGTATTATTTATAAAGTTTATGGTTGGCAATGTCATCTCAGAATGATGGAACATTTTGTCAGACGATGTGTTTCTCTGACTTTCCTGTAGCACCGCCAGCTGGTTTAAGTTTTCACTTATCGTGGCAAATGTATCTTAACATCTTCCTAATTGATTGTCACAACATTTCAATTTGAATGACTTTTGTGATCATCTGACTTTCACCTAGTGCCATCATCAAATCCTGTCCTTCTTCCCTGTGGTCTCTTTGTCCTCTGTTGTCCTGTTTTTTTTTTACCACATTTCTGAACTGTCCCTCTCAAACTGCTCTGCCTCGTCTTGTCATCCGTCTTCTTATGCCTTGTTTTCAGCCCCATCTTGTCCTTCTTTGACTTGTCTCGCCCGTCACATTTTTTCCTGATGTGTCCTGAGCAGAACAGAACATCCCATGTTGTCCCAGTGGATGGCGGAGACACAAGTCCACCTGTTACCAGCTTTCTTCGAGCGAGAACACCTGGCAGCATGCAGAAGAAGACTGTGAGAGCAAAGGATCTCATTTGGTGGTTTTGAATAATGAAGCAGAAGTGGTATTTGTTACATTTCTTATATAAATCCTGATATTCTGATATTATCCTGCAGCCAATTAATGTATGGTTAGCCTCACCAACCAAAGTTGATAAAGTATTTTAAATTCACTTCCTTCCTAACAGAAAGTTGTCCGTGGATTTGGAGGTAATGCCACACTGTGGATGGGCCTGAGAGGAAACCTGAATAGGCAAACCAACGACTGGGAGCTGAAATTGGTGGATTCAAGCTCCCTGTATTATGAGTAAGGCTTTTTACTTATTTATGAATTTAAATCTGTTTTGGCAGTCTGACATTGACATAATACCTGGTTAACTGGGATTACACATTGGCATTTAGTTACTTACTTGTATTTAAACAAAATCAACCCATAACTGCCATGTACTTTTCCACCCTAAACAAATCCACTAAAAGAGTATTTTGTCTTTTTCTGTAGAAACTGGATTGTCCAGAGACGGGATGATGGGAGGAATTGTTTTTGTGCATATGTTGACTTTGGCTCGTCGTGCTTGAAGAACTGGTTCAGGGGCGCCTGTCAAGAACATCACTATTGGATGTGTGAGATGCACCCTGGCTCTGTGGCGTGAATAAGACTCAACCCAATGAAAACATCTGCAATCAGTCTGTCTCTCAATCACAAACATAGACAAGTATATTTAACATACATATCATTTATCTTTTATACATTGTAATTGATGGTTTTCTACACTTATATTAAAGACGCCATTTTATGACCACTGTATGCTTTTTATCATTTTAAAATAAACGACACATCCCTAAATACCCTTTGGCGGATGTGTTATTATAGGGGGGACACAGGAAATGAAAACACTGACATTAAGGCCAAAACTAGAAGGCCTTTATTTAAAAGGAGAAGGTCAGATAATAACGCTGTTACACCTCAAAGACATCACAGGGGGAGTCTCTTTGTCGTCAACAAATTAAGATACAAGGTCAATGGAAAGGGGAGAATTCCACAAATGAACCAGCAGTAAAGAGGAACGGAAAAGCAAGATTTAAAATGATTAGGGCTTTCGAAGGTTAACTTAGAACAAATGTAGTGCTTATCATCATGTGTCCTGTGTGTGAAATGAATGTTTAGGGAAATGAAAGCGCTTGTCAGGGTGAAAAATGTCCAGGGCGTTTCAACTTAAGCAAGAGAACTTACAAGAAACGGGAGGATGCTTTTAAAAAATGGCACTTCTTTGTTTATCGGCCCTCTGTCGCTCCACTGTTGTCAGCTTTAATGGAGGATGGAGGAACAGTTAAAAAGGTGCAAGAACCCTAGATTTAAGCGTTTATTGCATTAACTGATTGTCCTGTTCAATCTTCGGCAAGAGTTGCTTCATCCAATATTGGAAATTTTGCATTCTTGCTCGCAGCTTTATTCTTAAGAATCCATCAAGTCGAATATCAAAATGGGAAAATGGGATTTCTTTTAAATGTGTTGAATAAATCTTTTGTTTACAAAATGTTATTTATATGACTGTTTCACTGATGTAAGCTTCTGCCTAACTCAAATAATAAATAATTGAAGTGCAGTTAAAGTGAAGGGTGCTTTGTATTTATTATAATCTGCCATATAGGGCTGCCACTAAACATTTGTTTGATTCTCATTGATCCTTTTCTCATTGAATTCACTTCCATCAAGTTTCAGAAGATGTCGCACAAAATGTGCTTCAGAGTTTCCCAAAGCCCAAGACAACATCCACAAATATTCAGTTTTGTCCATATATAAATGCAAATGTTTGCTCTTTAGCACTCAAGATATACAACTGTGCCTAATGAAAATGTTATTGGTTTTCATTTTTGGGTTTTAAACTTCACTTTTTCGACCCGTAGATTTAGTCCCAATGAAAACATCTGCAATCACTCTGTCTCTCAATCACAAACATAGACAAGTATATTTAACATACATATCATTTATCTTTTATTCATTGTAATTTATGGTTTTCTACACTTATATTATAGACGCCATTTTATTATAAAATAAACGAAACATCCCTAAATACCCTTAGGTGGATGTTTTATTATAGGGGGGACACAGGAAATGAAAACACTGACATTAAGGCCAAAACTAGAAGGCCTTTATTTTAAAGGAAAAGGTCACATAATAACGCTGTTAGACCTCAAAGACATCACAGAGGGAGTCTCTTAGTCGTCAACAAATTAAGATACAAGGTCAATGAAGAATTCCACAAATGAACCAGCAGTAAAGAGGAACAGAAAAGCAAGATTAAAAATGATTAGGGCTTTCGAAGGTTAACTTAGAACAAATGTAGTGCTTATCATCATTTGTCCTGTGTGTGACACCCCCCCTCACACACACACATACACACACACACACACACACACACACACACACACACACACACACACACACACACACACACACACACACACACACATACACACACGCCACAAAAGCTATACAAACGGATACGTTCACACATTTACAAAGCTTACAGAGCTTTATGTAGCTGTGGTTGAAGACTGTCACTATAAGAAACATGGAGATGGGAGAGTATGCCAAATCACCAGCTAATGAAAGAACAAATGGACGAGCACAAAGAGATCCAGGTCAGAATACTTCAAGTAAGTTTAAGTTTTGTTTTTATTTTTTATCTCTGACCCTTTTAAACATTTTCTTTAGATGGCAGCTTGTAACTGTTTTTCCATGTGAATTATTTTGTGGGTTTCGCAAGCTTCCTTAAAGAAATAAAGCTTATTGATACATTTTTACAAAACCATCCAAATATAAATATTCTGCTTTTCTTCATTTTGTTGCTTATTTTTAAAGTTATTCATTTAAAATGACTACTCTTTTAAAGGACTTCTTAAGTAATAACATACATCACAGAGTCCCTGGCTTACAGGAATATTACTTCCAATTGTATATTTTTTATTTTATTTCCAACTAGTTGTAATATATGTTGAGGACATCTTCAAATTTCAAGTTGTGTTTTTTTTTTACTGTAAAAGATGATGTGCAGCCGATGATCAAATACAATGTTCTAAAAATGTAACAACAGTAATACTTTAGAATGTTTCAATATAACCGCTTCCTCCTAATTTGTGAGTAACTCTTCTGGGAAATACTCAGTATGCCTATACTGTAATATTTTCCACCGTACATCTCTTTTACTATTTCCATGGTTCAGTTGGTTACTGTACAACAACAAAAAGATGCGATTATATATTTGTATGTTAAGTTTAGAAAACTGAAAGGGCTTAATATAGCTAGAGTTTAAAAAAGACATGAACACAATACAAATGACAGAAAAATGCAGTGCGTGTAACTTATAATTATCTTCATGTTAAAGGTGGGTAGGTAAGTTTGAGAAACCGGCTCGAGATACACTTTTTGTTATATTCCATGGAATGCTCTTAACATCCCGATAAAAATGAATATCTGAAGTGCTTTGACAAAAAATCCATTACAAAATGTCATCTGTGGAAGCCGTGGCGCTGTAAAAAGTAAGGATCGACCGATATGGCTTTTTCAAGGCCGATATCGATACCGATTATTAGTAATCAAGGAGACCGATAACCGATATTTGGAACCGATATACATTTGCAGTAAAATCAGAAAATCTTGGTGTCAAAATGTAGAATAACACAAACTCCAACACAACTCAACTTCTTTGAAATGCATTTAAGCATATATTATGTTTAATTAACTTTTAAACATCTTACAACTGGTTTCCTCTCTGTGCCCTTTTCTTTAGTGCAGCCATCTGCAATGAGTTAGAGAGAGAGACAAGAAGTGGGGCTGCAGGCTGACATGCTTAACTAACAAAAATGCTTAATTTATTATATCTGTCTATCTAGCATAAAATCCCAATAAGCTGCTAGCAACTTCAAAACACTAGTGCTAGCTAATGTTTTGCAAACTATTAAAAGTGAGGCTATTACAGTAGACCTAACGTTAATCTAGTAGCCTCACTTCTAATATTTTGCTAAACATTTGCTAGATACATGTTGGCTAGCTAATGAGCTTCACATATCAACCTGAAAAACTGCGAGGCTCCACTCGCAGCCCCTCCCCCCCATCTCCGCACCACAGTTACTCCGCTGCGAGACGCTGCACGCACCCCTAACCCCCTAATCGCACCAGGAGCGTCTGCGCTGCGGCTGCGCCGCGCTGCGACCTCCTCCTGCGTCCTAACCCACCAGGCGCGTTTCAAAACGTTGCGGAAGCGGAGCGTCTTGTGTGCACCCTCGCAGTTGTTGGATGAACATTCCACTTCCTGCCTGCCCCGCGCTGCGCCGCGTCAAAAATAGGATTCATCATATATTTTAGAAATTCCTTGCGGCGAGGAGCTTCTGGGACGCTTCGAGCCGCGGCGCAGCGTGTCTGGTGGAATAGCACCCATTGACTAGAGTGGCTGCGATCACTAAAAACGCTGCAACGCAGCGCAACGCAGCGCAACGCAGCGCAACGCAGCGCAACGCAGCGCAACGCAGCGCAACGCAGCGCAACGCAGCGCAACGCAGCGCAACGCAGCGCAACGCAGCGCAACGCAGCGCAACGCAGCGCAGACGCTCCTGGTGGGATTAGGGGGTCAGTCTGTGTCTGCGTTCTTTCGCACCTGCCTGTAATCTGAGAAGGTCCCACCTCTCTGGCTGGCTCCCGCCCGGAAAATCTTCAGTAATAACCTATCAGAGAGCGCTGTAGGCGGGACATTGCTCGTGTACACAGAGTGGTGACTGCAGCCAGAGAAACGGCCGCATCAGAGCCAAAGTTTTATCGGCAATTTATTAAAAAAATGGCCGATACCGATAATCGGTCAAATGCGGAATATCGGCCCCGATAATCGGCCAAGTCGACCCCTAATAAAAAGCACGACCAATCATCTGAGCCGGACCGGCTAAAGTAACTGGATGGCCTACCTGCCTGTCAGCCTTCCATCTGTGCACAAACTTATCTCGTGCCCTCATTGGTCATGTGCGCGTTCGGTTCGTGTGTGTTGGAGGAGGGGCTCTGTAAGGAAGTGGCAGATTTTTTCCGGTTGTTTATTTTCAAATTCTAGCCACTCCAGCTGGTTTCTCCATTCTTACCTACCCCACCTTTAATGTTATTATGTTGGTGTTTGTGTGTTTTGCCTGTTTGTAGGAGGGTCAAAAACCTACATTTTGATGGCAGTCAGCTTCGGCCTGCTGTTCATCGTACAGTCCGCTCTCAATGTCTCATTTTGGCTGCAAGTAGGTGAGTTTCAGCACTTGTCTTCAGCACACAGTTAAAAATGAATAATTGGATACATCCCAAAGCATTACGTAAAGGTCCCCTATTATGCAAAATCCACTTTTTCATGTCTTTTATACATCGACGTGTAAAGAAATTCTGAAAGTTTCAGGAAAAAAGATTCTCTCTCTTTTTGTCCTGATCCATTTATATAAAAACGTCTGAAAATGAGCTGATCAGATTTTGGTCACTTTGTGATGTCACAATAGGCGCATTCACACCGCAGTACTTTTCCCACAAAGGTTCATGAGAACTTAGTTCATGAGAACTCTTTTGTCGCGTTCACACCAAAAAGAGCCGGTGCTAAAATTAGTTCATGAGAACCTTTTTACCCCCACGAAAGTCCCTGCTAGAGAGCAGGGACTTTCGTGCGGCTCTCTTGTGAGAAAAGAGCTATATTTCTGATTGGCTAGGCGGATTGCAAACCACGCCCCGTAAAACTCCCAAAAAGTTTTGTGAAGCCGCCATTTTATTATCCTCGCATTAGCATAATTAGCATTAGCATTAGCCCAGCGCAGAAACGCAGAGAGACTAACTTATGGCAAAACAAAATAAAACATGGGAGCGGTGGAGATGAGGAGGTGTCGGCGTTCTGGCGATTTACTCGGAAGGCTTCAGTAGAAGCTGCTGGGAGTCCCAGCAGCTTCTACTGAAGCCAGTCCCTAACTCCGGGGACTTCCGGCCGGGGACTTTGGGCGGCAGTATACGCCGTGAAGCTGTTTGCGGCCTGCCAGTAAACCCAAAGCAGAAGAAGAAGAAGTGACGTCAGCGGCTTCATTTGCCTAATCCTCCCCCAGGGACTTATTCCGGTGTGAACGCGTACTTAGTTCATCAGAACTAAAGAGTTCTCATGAACTAAGTTCTCATGAACCTTTGTGGGAAAAGTACTGCGGTGTGAATGCGCCTAATGTTTTTTTGGATTGAGTAACCATTAGCTAATCACCAACCAAGGTAACCCCCCCACCTTATCACCTGAATCTCCTCCTAGAGCACCATTCAATTGTTTTAACCAATCACGTGTCAGAGGGGCGTGACCAGCAGCAGCTCATTAGCATTTAAAGCTACAGACACAGAATCAGCACTTTTGAAACAGGGCTGAAACAGAGAGGATTATGGGATGTTGCAATGATCTGTTTGGTGTTTCAGACAAACGCTTCAGAGACATGTTTTGTATATATCTATAATATATTGATGAAAAACAGTATAATAGGGGACCTTTAACATTTGTGTCCACTTCAAGTCAATAGAGATAACATCAGAGGACGACAACTTTGATATATTTCTCTTTCTAGCTGAATGTTCTACCCAGTCCAACAACGCTTCGACGAACAATTTCATCAAAATGTCAGCTGTTGACATTGAAGCCTTGATTTTAGAGAAAGACCGACTGGTTCAAGAGAAGAAGCAACTGGTTCAAGAGAAGGATCAACTGGTTCAAGACACAAAGCAACTGGTTCAAGAGAAGGATCAACTGGTTCAAGACAATAAGCAACTGGTTCAAGAGAAGGATCAACTGGTTCAAGAGAAGGATCAACTGGTTCAAGAGAAAGACCAACTGGTTCAAGAGAAGGATCTACTGGTTCAAGAGAAGGATCAACTGGTTCAAGAGAAGGATCAACTGGTTCAAGACACAAAGCAACTGGTTCAAGAGAAGGATCAACTGGTTCAAGACAAAAAGCAACTGGTTCAAGAGAAGGATCAACTGGTTCAAGAGAAGGATCAACTGGTTCAAGAGAAGGATCAACTGGTTCAAGACAAAAAGCAACTGGTTCAAGAGAAGGATCAACTGGTTCAAGAGAATAATCAACTGGTTCAAGAGAAGGGTCAACTGGTTCAAGACAAAAAGCAACTGGTTCAAGAGAAGGATCAACTGGTTCAAGACAAAAAGCAACTGGTTCAAGAGAAAGACCAACTGGTTCAAGAGAAGGATCAACTGGTTCAAGAGAAGGATCAACTGGTTCAAGACAAAAAGCAACTGGTTCAAGAGAAAGACCAACTGGTTCAAGAGAAGGATCAACTGGTTCAAGAGAAGGATCAACTGGTTCAAGACAAAAAGCAACTGGTTCAAGAGAAGGATCAACTGGTTCAAGAGAAGGATCAACTGGTTCAAGACAAAAAGCAACTGGTTCAAGAGAAGGATCAACTGGTTCAAGAGAATAATCAACTGGTTCAAGAGAAGGATCAACTGGTTCAAGACAAAATGCAACTGGTTCAAGAGAAGGATCAACTGGTTCAAGACAAAAAGCAACTGGTTCAAGAGAATGATCAACTGGTTCAAGACAAAAAGCAACTGGTTCAAGAGAAGGATCAACTGGTTCAAGACAAAATGCAACTGGTTCAAGAGAGGAATCAACTGGTTCAAGACAAAAAGCAACTGGTTCAAGAGAATAATCAACTGGTTGAAGAGAAGGATCAACTGGTTCAAGACAAAAAGCAACTGGTTCAAGAGAAGGATCAACTGGTTCAAGACAAGGATCAACTGGATCAAGAGAAGGATCAACTGGTTCAAGACAAAAAGCAACTGGTTCAAGAGAAGGATCAACTGGTTCAAGACAAGGATCAACTGGATCAAGAGAAGGATCAACTGGTTCAAGAGAAGGATCAACTGGTTCAAGAGAAGGATCAACTGGTTCAAGACAAAAAGCAACTGGTTCAAGAGAAGGATCAACTGGTTCAAGACAAAATGCAACTGGTTCAAGAGAAGGATCAACTGGTTCAAGACAAAAAGCAACTGGATCAAGAGAAGAATCAACTGGTTCAAGACAAAATGCAACTTGTTCAAGAGAAGGATCAACTGGTTCAAGACAAAACGCAACTTGTTCAAGAAAGAGATCAACTGATTCAACAAAAGGATCAACTTGTAAAGGAAAGCAAAGAGCAAACGGCCAATAACACCAACCTGGTCAATGACAACACACGGTTAGGACAGATGGTCACCGAACTACAAAATCAAATTCAGTCGGGTGAGTCTCTTATTAACCCTTGTACGGTGTTAGGGTCTGTGGGACCCGGTTTCATTATTTAGCGAAAGAAAAATTATATGATAAATTATTTTGTCAAAATCACACTCAATGGCCTTTGCTCATTTGCTGTGAAGAACATATATCAGAACACATTTTCAATGACCACCCAATGTATACCCCCCCCCCCCCCCCCCCCCCCCCCCCCCCCCTACACCTTTACATTACTTACAGGATGTTCCGGTCCCGGGGCTAACAAAAGTGTGGAAATTATAGGTCCTGTGCACCTGTCTGGGCTCTCTCTCTCTGTGTGTGCGTGTGTGTGTGTGTGTGTGTGTGTGTGTGTGTGTGTGTGTGTGTGTGTGTGGTGTGTGTGTGTGTGTGTGTGTGTGTGTGTGTGTGTGTGTGTGTGTGTGTGTGTGTGTGTGTGTGTGTGTGTGTGTGTGTGTGTGTGTGTGTGTGTGTGTGTGTGTGTGTGTGTGTGTGTGTGTGTGTGTGTGTGTGTGTGTGTGTTGTGTGTTTGTGTGTGTATGTGTGTTTCTGCCCCTGCCATTCCCACACAAGGTTGCAACGTTGTTGATAAATTCAAGCACCGACACCTGTCTGCTCTTTGGGGCGGGACACAAGAATCTTGAGTCTGACAGTGATTTAAAGAAGAGGATGAGAATGAACATCAGCTAGTTACAAACAAAAGACGAGCCACAGGACCAGCTGATCAGTGGGCAAAAAAACGAGTAGCACTTTAATTCATTAATGTGATCTAACAAATGTAAATTGGCAAATATTAACCATATATGCTGTTTATATTTGCTTGTAATTGGGATGAAGTAAACATCTGTTGAGTATTTTAACATAATATATATATATATATATATATACATATATATATATGTATGTTTATGATTGGCAATGTCATTCAGTCGTTCTGTCAGTCCTCCACTTTGGGCAAAGCTAAAATATCCTGATATATAAATTGAGTGAAGTTCCATGAGATTTTGTCAGACAATGTAATATTTTTGCTGACATGTTCTTAACCTGTGTAATATCTAAACATGTAAATCTGTTTAGAAAATGTTTCAAGACTTTCTGACTTATTTTATTGCAATCATCAAATGTGTCCTCTGTCTGGTTCTGTCCTCCCCTGCCCTTCTTTTTCTTCTGTCCTGTGTTGTCTTCTTATGCCTTGTTCTCTGCCCCATCTTGCCCTTCTCTGACTTGTCTCGCCCCGTCACATCTTGTCCCGATGTGTCCTGTGTTTGTTCCTGAGCAGAACAGAACATCCCATGTTGTCCCAGTGGATGGCAGAGCCACAATTCCACCTGTTACCAGCTTTCCTCAAGTGAGAATACCTGGCAGCACGCAAAAGAAGACTGTGAGAGCAAAGGATCTCATTTGATGATTTTGTATGATGAAGGAGAAGAGGTATTTCTTATATTTCTTATATAAATCCTGATATTCTGATATTATCCTGCAGCCAATTCATTTATGGTTAGCCTCACCAACCAAAGTTGATAAAGTATTTTAAATTAACCTTCCAAACAGAAAGTTGTCCGTGGATTTGGAGGTGATGCCACACTGTGGATGGGCCTGAGTGGTAACGTGAATAGGCAAAACAACAAATGGGAAATGACAACGGTGGATTCAATCCCCTGGTGTTATACGTAAGGCTTTTCACATCTTTATAAACTTGAACAATGATTCTTATTTAAGGCGAAGATCTGACATTGACATATTACATTTTGGACTTTATTACACATTGACATTTAGCAACTAACTTTGATTGAAACAACTGGTAAATCTTAGCAGCTTCAAAATAAATTAACCAAATCCTCCCGAGGTTTTATCCAAACATTATCCTTAAAAATCACCAAATGCTCATTGCATACTTTAAAGCTAAAGAAAGGGTCCAACCTTGAAAACTCATCAGTCTATTACCTGGCTTACACCGACACACATGTGTATGTCAAACTAACAGTCAATCCAGAAGTGCCTTGCTTTTCCATAACCAAGTCCGCCTATCAGTATTTTGTGTTGTATCATAGGAACTGGAAGGATCCTATACAGAATGTTGGGAGTAACATTTCCTGTGCATATGTGGACTATGACCCGTCGTATTTGAAGACCTGGACCCTGGTCAGGTGTCAAGAACAACACAAGTGGATGTGTGAGATGAAGCGTGCCTCTATCTGCCGTAAATTAGACTCAACCCATCACACACATCTGCAATCAGTCCGTCTCTCAATCACAAACCCAGACACATTTATTTAAAGGGGCCCTCTTGTGCTTTTTGGGGCTGTCCCTTTCCTGTGTGTGTGTGTGGTGTGTGTGTGTGTGTGTGTGTGTGTTGTGTGTGTGTGGTGTGTGTGTGTGTGTGTGGTGTGTGTGTGGTATGTGTGTGTGTGTGTGTGTGTGGTGTGTGTGTGTGTGTGTGTGTGTGTGGTGTGTGTGTGTGTGTGTGTGTGTGTGTGTGTGTGTGTGTGTGTGTGGTGTGTGTGTGTGTGTGTGTGTGTGTGTGTGTGTGTGTGTGTGTGTGTGTGTGTGTGTGTTCTGTCAGTCCTCCACTTTGGGCAAAGCTAAAATATCCTGATATATATATTGAGTGAAGTTCCATGAGATTTTGTCAGACAATGTAATATTTTTGCTGACATGTTCTTAACCTGTGTAATATCTAAACATGTAAATCTGTTTAGAAAATGTTCCAAGATTTTCTGACTTCTTTTATTGCAATCATCAAATGTGTCCTCTGTCTGGTTTGGTCCTCCCCTGCCCTTCTTTTCCTTCTGTCCTGTGTTGTCTTCTTATGCCTTGTTCTCTGCCCCATCTTGCCCTTCTCTGACTTGTCTCGCCCCGTCACATCTTGTCCCGACTTGTCCTGTGCTGTGTTTGTTCCTGAGCAGAACAGAACATCCCATGTTGTCCCAGTGGATGGCAGAGCCACAATTCCACCTGTTACCAGCTTTCCTCAAGTGAGAACACCTGGCAGCACGCAAAAGAAGACTGTGAGAGCAAAGGATCTCGTTTGGTGATTTTGTATGATGAAGGAGAAGAGGTAGTTGATATTTCTTAAATAAATCCTGATATTCTGATATTATCCTGCAGCTAATTAATTGATGGTTAGCCTCACCAACCAAAGTTGATAAAGTATTTTAAATTAACTTCCTTCCTAACAGAAAGTAGTCCGTGGATTTGGAGGTGATGCCAAACTGTGGATGGGCCTGAGAGGTGACCTGAATAGGAAAAAGAACAAATGGGAAATGACAACGGTGGATTCAAGCCCCAGGTGTTATGGGTAAGGCTTTTTACATCTTTATAAACTTGAACGATGATCCTTATTTAAGGCGAAGATCTGACATTGACATATTACATTTTGGACTTTATTACACATTGACATTTAGCAACTAACTTTGATTGAAACAACTGGTAAATCTTAGCAGCTTCAAAATAAATTAACCAAATCCACTACTGTAAAACTAAAGAAAGGGTACAACCTTTACACCGACATACATGTGTCCAGAAGTGCCTTGCTTTTCCACCCTAACCAAATCCGCCAATCTGTATGTTGTGTTGTTTCATAGAAACTGGAAGGTTCCAACACCGAGTGTTGCGAGTAACATTTACTGTGCATATGTGGACTATCACACGTCGTCTCTGAAGAACTGGTTCCTGGTCAGCTGTCAAGAACAACGCAAGTGGATGTGTGAGATGAAGCGTGCCTCTATCTTCCGTAAATAAGACTCAACCCATCAAACACATCTGCAATCAGTCTGTCTCTCAATCACAAACACAGACACATTTATTTAAAGGGGCCCTCTTGTGATTTTTGGGGTTGTCCCTTTCCTGTAGTGTGTTCTATTGGTTTTTGTGTATGTAAATGGTCTACAAAGTGTTAAATGTGCTGTATAAATAAATAAAGATTGCAAAGGCTAAAATCCCAGAGGGAGTTTCTCTCCACTCCCCACTCTGATATCTCGGTTGACTTATTTAAGAGCTTGTTTTTAGAAAGCAACACCACTGAAATGCACCATTCAAATTCAGTTTGTACTCAAGCTATTTGCATGTTTTCAATATAAGAAATTAATTGGTTAATCTCCAGATGCCTTGAAAGTGTAAACACTTTGTGAATATGATTAGTTGTACTAACTGCTGGTGACCACTAGAGGGTGTTATTTCAATATTTGTAGCCATGTTTTGAACTTTCTGTGGCATGCATGTTGATGAAGTGTGTTTTCATTATAACCAAGGCTGGGTTATTACTCTTAGGGAGTCGTTTGCAGTGTTTCAGGCAAACATCAAGCTTGCAATGTACTCTCTAAATGTATTTTAAAGCATTTTTAGAAGAGTTGACTTTGTGGCAACATGGTTACAGAGTTAGCTTTGACCTTTAAATACATTTTAGTAAACTTAGCTTTGCTTCTTCTTTATTTCTCTCAGGAAATGTATGATTCAGCCTAGCAGTATCCAGATATGTCTCCTCCACAACAACATTATTTCTGTCTGATATTACGTCATTTAAAAACACTTGATTGAGGGAAGCTTTTCACTGATTGCTCACAGGAAGGATGAAGTCAAATTATGATTAATTTGACCACAGCAAGTTCTTAAAGAGGCCCTTGTTTGCTAATTTTAAGGTTCATGTATGTATTTGTGCCTCTGCTGTCAGTAAGGAATTAAACTGAAAGGAAGCTTTGTATTTATTATAATCTGCCATATAGGGCTGCCACTAACAATACGTTTGATTGTCATTGATCCTTTTCTCATTTAATTCACTTGTTCTATCAAGTTTCAGAAGATGTCGAACAAAATGTGCTTCAGAGTTTCCCAAAGCCCAAGACAACATCCATAAATGTTCAGTTTTGTCGATACATGCAAACGTTTGCTCTTTAGCACTCAAGAAGTACAACTGTACCTGATGAAAATGTCATTGGTTTTCATTTTTGGGTTTTAAAGTGGACCTATCATGCTATATTTGAAACATATATTGCATACAAAAAATGTCTGTGACGTTTTTTTTTCAAAATACCAAACAGGTATAGCGTACATTTCCAACTATCAGGGAGTCCCATTGACTTGAATAGATCTCCCTGAACGTTGGTAATAGACCAGGGGTGCCCAACCAGTCGATCGCGATCGACCGGTCGATCGCGGGGAGATTCCCAGTCGATCGCGAGATGTGTCTAAAAATAGAACAACAATATTCAGTTTTATCGTTAATGTCCTGTAACATAATCTTCCTGTGCCAGAATAATGCACTTGAACGCATCAAAGCTTTGTGATTGGCCGGCGTGACCCCATGTGTCGGGGCGTGGCTGGTGAGCAGTGGGCATTGCTGGGCAAGTGCACTAGTTCGCTAACGTTGTCCGTGTCAACAGGAGTGACAGTCCGCACACACACAAGACCGCAATTATGGCAGAAGCAAAACATATATAATTTTCACTCCGAGTGGGAGGATGATTATTTTTGTATCTATTCCAATTCAAAGTCCATCTGCAATGCGAGCGTGGCTTTATCGAAGAAGGGTAATTTAGGAGCGGCATTTCAAAACAGTGCACAAACGCTACGAGACGGAATTCCCTCCTAATTCTGCCCTACGCTCCCAAAAGGGGAGGGGCCTGAAAGGACGGCTAAATGCACAGCAGTCCATTTTCACCAGGCCCAACAACAAGAGCAAGGCTGCTTCCAGAGCATCTTATCGTGTCAAGTCACGTTATTGCGAAACACATGAAGTCTTTCAAAGACGGCGAAGTTGTGAAAGAAACATTCCTGGAGGCTGCCGATGCGTAATAAAAATAACAGTACCATTTCAACAGGTTTTTGATATGATAAAAACTCAAGTTAGATACCGTTATTAATCAGCTTTAAGTTTGAGTTTGTTTGAACTTATTCATTATAATTATTGTACAAAATGGTATAAGAATGCAAACTTAAATTGATTATAGTCTATTATCAATTCAGGTTAAGAAACTAGTGTTGCTTGCATCCTATTTTAAAGGCATTTCTTTTTATATTCTACTAAAATGCAACAAAAAAAGGGTTTGATTCTATTAATTTTGTCTTTTTTATTGCACTTTGGCAGCAGATTCCTGTGTAGCTTCAGATCTGAGTTGTCTTATTAGTAAGCCTAATGTATACTTTTGTAGCAACACTATTTTTATATAATGGCAAAGAAAGGGTTCAGAGTCTTTTCTTTTGTCCTGTGTCATATGTGGCAGCACTGTTCAATGTTTCTTGAAAACATTACCCACTGTAGTGACGTGTGAATAAACTCCAACTCTGGATCAACAACACTGTTGTGTAACTTCAGTTAAATACTTGTATGTGTGTAGATTAGAAAGAGGTAAGATAAAGGATCTGCAGTATTTGATGAAGTATTAATCGTACAAAGGTCAGGTTTATACAAGTAGAAGTGTGTATTTACCTGGTAGTAGGCTGTCAGTAATGGCTACGCCTCTCTATTTGGACTGGTAGATCTCAGCAGACTGGCAACTTTAAAAGTAGCTCTCGGTTCAAAAAAGGTTGGGCACCCCTGTAATAGACGATGGGATCGAGGAGAAATGCTCTCCGCAGATCCATTCTCACTGCGTTTATCAACCTTTTTCTAACTGAATATCAAGCCACACTTATTGTTTTTACTTCTTTATTTTAATTGTATAATCAAACCCTTTTGTTGCCGTCAGTTATAGAGAGTAGGGGCTCAGAATATTGAAATCTGTATTGTTTCATCGTTCTTTCCTTCTAATTTTGTATTATTTTCTAAACCACACACTGTTATTTACTCAACAATAAGACCTTTTTGTTATTTATTTGGTTGATTGTATAAAGTCAGACTTTTGGAGTCCGTCAGGAATGTTCTAGAGTCTGTTTCCATAAGTGCTGTGATGTATTTAGTTGTGTAGCTGATTGTTAACTGCTATCTTAGTTTATCCCTATCTATAAGCAATGTCGTGTTTTACTCTGTTGTCAACGGTGATTAAATGTGCTGCAGAACATTGCTTTTGTCTTTTTCTTGAAAACATCAGTAGGCTTTAATCAAGTCAGGAGGAACATCTTATTCACGATGATGTAACATGTTTTATGAAAATTAGGCAAAAGGAGATCAGGCCTCAATATGCAGTCATGTAGTCAACATGTATATTTTCTAGTCTTTTAATTTGTATTGTCTTTTTATGCTGCTGCTACGCAAACATTTCCCAATTTGGGATCAATAAAGTACCTCTTATCTTATCTTACCTTATTTTGGTGACTAAACATACGTTTTTGGGGCCTAGGAATCCAATGGAGATGTTCAAATTGCATTTAATATGATTATTGTATTAGGAAATCCAATATGTTGGACGTGTGACTCTATTAAAACCCGGTGAAAGGGAACTTGTTTCAAGTTCCGGTTGAGACTATTTGGGAAGTATCAACATGACATGATTTAAAAAGATGCCATCTCCACCTCGAAGCAGAAGTCTACTGAACCGTCACATCAGAGAGACGCTCTCATCAGGACTGCAGCAGGACTTTGTTCAGGACCAAAGGAAACATAATCGAGGATATGGGTAATTAAAGAATATTCCAGAGTTTGTGTGTGTGTGTGTGTGTGTGTGTGTGTGTGTGTGTCTAAGATATATCCTATGATATGTTTTTCTTTGCCTTTACCAACATGGTTTACTATCTATGACCATATATGCGTAAATTGCTTCTGAGGCTTGACCACTCCCTAGCAGCACATTATTTTAAATATCCAAATCCATTTAAGGTTGAATCTTTACAATTATGATTGATCAGCTCTGCTGAACATAGAGACATCATGTTTAATGCATTTGGGATTTTTTAGAGTGAATTAAGCAAAGCTTGTAGTTTAAAATATGTTAACCACACATGATGAACTATTGTACTAAATACTAAATGTGCTTCATTTTCAACAATAACATGAACAAATGTTTTATTTATAAGATTTGAGTTTGTCTAATTGGTCTTTAATCTCGTTTTAAAAAGTCAGCATGATACACTTCTCTGTGTGTTTTTAGTTCTGCTTTTCTGCTCTGTTCTTTTCATGACTGCAACTGATTTTACATCGTTGAGTTTGATTATAAACTCCATCCTTTAGTGAAATGGTTCCTCATGCGTGCTGAACATAATGGGAGGGAAGCTGCATATCTGATGAAACAGTATGTGTTTATCTTCCAGAGGAAATCACAGGAGAAGCTGACTATGTGAATGCACCAGAAGGCCCTGCGGATAAAAAGGCACCGCGTCCAGGTGAGCTGTGAACACAAGCAACCATGAGATTTATTCAACAGTCATATTATTTAAATAAAATAGTGATGAAGGTTAAACATGTGAATATTAAATCAGCTCTTTTTATTTTATATTAACTGTTCATTCATGTTCAGTTACGTTACTCAGTCCAGAGGCCGCTTTTATTCAATGCATTTTCCACCAATAGCAGTGTGTTTGCTGATAGCCATTATACAATCCATCTTTTGTCCAATGGTTTTTGAAGTTTGATCATATTGGGAGTTAAATTCACATCAATGCACACAATGTATACTTAATGATAATAATAATGTCTTGTTTTTCATTACTGCACATAATGTATTACAATTCTATTTCTGCGATTTCAACCATATTGTAACATCCCGTCATGTCTGCTAAATTGTTTGTCATGTTAATCAGGTTCATGTTATTGTTTCACGTTTAGTTCATAGCCCAGGTTAGATTTATGTTTAGTCAAGTATTTTTGTTCACCTGTCTAGTCCTGTCATTGCACTTCCTATTTTATTTTGTACGTACCTCTTGTCTCTCATTTCAGGCCCCCTTACTTCCTCCCTTTGTGTGTTTTCCCGCCATCGTCAGCGTCTGCCCCGCCCCTGATTGTTTCCACCTGTTCCCCCTTACCTCATGTATAAATAGTCCTGTCTCCCTTTGCCAGTTCGTCTTGTGCCTTGTGCCATTTAGAGAGCCAGCTTGTTTCGCCAAGAGATTAATGTATTTTGTGACCATAGTCAATTGTATTTAGTTTGTAATTTGCTTTACTATGTTTTGCCTCTCAGGAGTGATTTTTTGTTTGAACTTTATACTTTTACAAAGTAAAGACTTTTTTTGAACAAACTCTCTTTTGAGTCGTGCGTTTGAGTCCAAGTGTCTGTAAGGTTCTTAACACATATTCAATGTAAATACTGCTCAAGCAGTTTTACATGTAAAATATATGTATTTTAGTATTTAAAAAGAAAAATGTATGTTATTATAGTTTTCTTAAAATAGTTTTATCTGTGTTTTATTTTAATTTTAATGTATGTCCCACAACACCAAGTCAAATTCCTCCTATGTGTTAACCTACCTGGTAATAAACTGTTTCTGATTCTGATAAACTTCATAAAAACTTAACACATTACGTCTATATTTTTCAGAGGACACCAAAAAAGGATCTGCCCCAGAAGGCACCGTGGATACAAAGGCATCCCCTCCAGGTGCATGATCAACACATTTCACTATTTAATACTGTTAACACGTTTAAAAGAACAACATAAAGGTAAAACAGTGAGATAGTGACTATGGTTACAATTGCTAAGCTATTTTTGTGGTGTGTTTATTATGTATTAAACGCATTAGCTTAGCCTGCTAAAGTATGTACTAAACTCCTGAGCTTGTACTTATGTTTTAAGTATTTTAGATGTTTATATATTAAATGTTTTAACCAACTTGCGACCTCAGTTTTTAGACTAAACTGTATCTGTGTATATGACTTTAAAACCTTTGAAACCTTTGTTTAGGTTTTTTAACTGAATGCTTGTTTTTCAGGCTTGAGGTTTGTTCTTCCGATAGCAGTGTGTTGGATCATACTGTTAGCCATCATGGGTCTCCGTATCTACTGTGAGTATCTTCTGAGTGAATGTCAGTTCAACAGTTTGTATTAGATGTGACCTGAAGCTCTGTAACTCTGTGTGTCGATCCAACATCTCCCCTCTCGTTCGCTGCCACACATGTTGCAATAGGAAGCTGCCATGTGGCGTGAAAGTGAAGCGTGTGTGAAGGTGTTTGCTTGTTTTGCTAATTGGGCAAAAAGCCGCAGTTTAAAGTTGTTCCTGTTCTTCAGTAAGCTCCGTGACTTATCCTTCCTGATGTTCAAACTGGCTCTGTGCAAAGAGGTATTTCAGTGTTTGATACTTGAAGTACTTGAGATAACAAACGCACTGCAGAACTTCCCATAATCTTCAGGTAAAGTTTAGAATATAATTTTGCACTAAACAAGGCAGTTGTTCACGTGTTCATATGAGCACTTGACTATTGATTCAAGATGGATTCAAACATGTGAACCCATTCTTCAATGTCTGTTAAGAACATTTAAACAGAAGTTTCACAGCCCAACACCTCCCTCTGTCTGTCTCTGTTGTTACCTCTGAACTTTCTGAAGACAACGCCAAGCAGACTGCAGAAATCAAGACGCTGACATCACAGAAGGATGGCTTGACAAAGCAAATACAAGAAATGGAGAGGAACTGGAATGAGCTCAACGTCAGTCGAGCTCAGTGGAGCATCAATGAGTACTGCAAAGAGGGTGAAGGTATGTTCAGGAACCATCAACGAGGATAAATAAGCTTGACAATATCTATTGTAAAACAATATGCAAATGTCTCACGTTACTAAATGTGACCCTGTCTTCCTGACAGAACTCTGTGTGGTGAAAACAGAGGAAAGGCATTCACTGAATCATTGCACAGAGATATAGGGTGACCACTGTAGAAACAGATCAAATTCTTAGTGCTTGCAATATGAGAACTGCCATTTCAGTATACTACCATACGAGCATTACACAGAGGGCAATCACAGCAGCAGCTTTTGCTTTAGCTAAATGTTACAATAAAGTAAGAAACCCTCTGATTTCTCTAAACACATTTCTTTATTACAACACCACACATGTATTTGTTTTATTAACCTCCAAAATACAAGTAAATACTAGAAGTTTAACTTGTGGTTAATCGTGATTAGTCGTTTTAGTGAATATCGTGATTAAAACGTTGTATCGATTGATATCACTAGTTTAAATGTCATTATATAATGTGTTTGTTTTGCATTATGGTTTATTCCTTTAATAATTTAACAGTACTTTAAAGTGCCTTGTTGTTGAAATGAGCTTTATTTTATAATAAAATGTATCATTTATAATAATGATGGTTATTGTATTCATGTTTCTGTGGTCTTCATTTTAACTTTTGTTCTTTCTTGTGAAGCGCTTTGTGAAATTCTATCTGTGAAAGGTGCTATAATAAATAAACGTATTATTATTGTATGCGTGAGTTGCTTCTGAGGCTAGACCACTCCCTTGTAGCAAATTATTTTACATATCCAAATTCATATAAGATTGAATCTTTAAAATGATAATTGATCAACTCTGCTGAACATAGAGAGACTATTTAATATATTTGGGGATTTTTGGAGAGTAAATTAAGGAAGAAGCTTGTAGTTTATCAATATGTTAACCACACATGATGAACTATTGTACTAAATACAACATGTGCTCCATTTTCAACAATAACATGTACAAATGTTTTATTTATAAGAAGCAGATTTGAACTTGTCACATTGGTCTTTAATCTCGTTTTAAAAAGTCAGCATGATACACTTCTCCGTGTGTTTTTAGTTCTGCTTTTCTGCTCTGATTCTTTGCGTGACGGCAACTGATTTTACATTGTTGTGTTTGAAACTCCATCATTTAGTGAAATGGTTCCTCATGCGTGCTGAACATAATGGGAGTGAAGCTGTGAATGCATCAGAAGGCCCTGAGGATACAATGTTAATGCGTCCAGGTGAGCTGTGAACACAAGTAAACATGAGATTTATTTAACAGTCTTATTATCTGACATTCTGTTCAGATGTATTTCTCTGTCCCCTCTGCAAAAAAAGTGATTGGCAGAAGAGCGTTCATGTTTAAAGCCCCAACAGACTGGAATACTTTACCTGCTGCTATTAGATCTCTTGCATCATTGGGTTTATTTAAACATGCATTGTTATCTCACTTTCAACTGGTCTGTACTTATTATAACTGATATTGATGAAACCGATTTGTTTGACTGTCTCAAATTGTAATGATTGTGTGCATTGCTTGAATTGTACTTAACAGACTGTATGTTGTTTGTCTTGTGTGTCATGTTTTGCATTTTGTCTTTTTGTTTATGTCTGTAAGTTGTTGCTATTGTCGGGACCCCCTTGAAAACGAGATGGTGCATCTCAAGGGGTTTATCCCAATGAATAACATTTCTATATATATATATATAAAACTAAAATAGGGATGAAGGTTAAATACGTGAATATTAAATCAGATCTTTTTGATCTTTAATAACTGTTAATTCATGTTGTTCAGTTACGTTACTTAGGCCAGAGGTGTCTATTATTCACTGTATTTTCCACCAATAGCAGTGTGTGTGCTGATAGCCATTATTAAATAAATCTTTGTCCAATGGTTTTTGAAGTTTGATCATATTGGAAGTTAAAGATTGGTAGATAGGTAATAATGATCACAATTACAAAGCAGTCATGTGGATAATGGGTTGGTCTCTGTTGTTTCAGTGGCACAGTGTCGACAGTGTCGACCATGTGAGAAGAACTGGATACCCTACGGGCCGAGCTGCTACTCGGTGAAACACCCTGACGCTACAGAGCTGTTAACCTGGGAAGAAGCTCGAGAATACTGCAGAGCGCTTAACGCAGATCTGGCTGCTGCACATAGTCTAATTGAAAAGGTACAATTATGAAATTATAAGTATTTTCTGTAAGTCGGGACACACTTTGAGTCATAACGTTTTGCACAACAGCTAATGTACACAACTGTAATTTATATACAATCGTATATTTGTGTTTCTGCTACTGTAATATATGGGTATTTTATAGAACAGTCTAACTTCATTAGGAGTATTATTTTTTGTTCATGTCCTTTCTACTGTAGATACTTGCTGCTGTTTATTGTTTTTATTTTTTATTTAATTTTATGATGTTTATACTTTGTCCCCTCACCTTTAAAGATTTTAAGATCGCCTGAAAACATTGCTGCTGTGACAAATAATTTCCCAACTTCGGCTAAATCTATTTCAGAACATGTTGATTTGAGTATTGTAAGGGAAACTTCTGTGTAGCAATGCAGTGGGAGTCACCGACTCAGGAAGGAGACACGGTAGGAGCTTTGATGTCAAAACACTGATGATTTATTGGAGTTTCGGAGCGTTCACATCACAAATCACAGCAGTCCCGGTGAGACTGCATGGGTGGGTTGCCACGTCAATTCTAAAGAACTCTACCTCAGACCCCTGTATTTAACTAGTTCTGAGAGCATCTTCAACATGCTGCATAACAAGATAAAATCATAACACCTCTATCAGCTGACGCAAACAGGCAGGAACATAGAATCATAACACCTCTATCAGCTGACGTCAACAGGCAGGAACAGGGAGACAGAACACTGAGAGCACAGCAGCCAAGGTTACGAGGTGCGTGTGCTCAGTCAGGACAGTTTGAACTGATAAACTGGGTCAAAGTTATGGGCCTTGGAAAATATTTCCACAACAAGTATTATGTTTAAATACCTGATGACTTTCTATCTGCTGTCAGATCATGATCAATATATATAGGCCAGTTAGTTCAGCAACTAACGGATACTGGATTGGTCTGAGAGTTGAAGACGGGAAATGGAAGTGGGCAGATGGAAGTGATCTGACTGATAGGTAAGAGACACGTTACTAAACACTTTGAACCATAAACATCTATCAGCCTTTATCTAAACTTCCTGTTTTCCCCTCAGCTCCTGGATAGGAAAACCTACTGAGGGTCACTGTGCACTCTCTGTCCGGAACAGCCCACCATGGTCATCAGTGAGCTGTGAAGAGAAACAACAATGGATCTGCCAGAAGAAAGCTCTATCTGTTTAAACACTGCAGTCATACTTGTACTCTTACATATGCTTTTCTTTTACTTTTTCAGAGATGCAGTAACCTCATTTATCATATCAGTATATCGTGATCATTTGATATAAAAGGACCAAAACGTGCTCAGTTTGAAATGTTTTAAAACGCTGCTTTATGTGGGCCAATAGGAGTCGCTGCATCTTTGGTTTCAACATAATGAGCTCAGAGATGTTTTCTTAAGCATTTGTATTGTGATGTTTTACATTTTAATATGTAGAGATGAGTTATGTGTGTGATTTATCTAGAAGCTAATTCATGTTTTGATTGATTGATTTTTTTTTATTGATACATTTATTTCCAACAAGTAAAATAAATAATTACAAAACAAAACAAATGTTGCAGTGCATAGTCATGTAAGAGAAATCAAAACAAAAAAAATACATTTACAACAACAGCATTAGCAACATAAACAGTGCCACATCTAGTGTTCGAAAAGGAGTGAGAAGAATTTATTTAATCTCACCCCCTTGTCCCTAAATGATTTATTTATAATCTATAATCTGCAATAATTATCATATACTCATGTTTGAGTCTATGATGTTAAGACAGCCATGACAGTTTCATCCCACAGGCAATAAGGCTGTTAAACACCTGAACTGTTGAAACAATATCCATAATATTCATATGGCTGCTACGTAAGGGATAATGTGCAGCATTATGTGCACCTTCCTGCCGATCTAGATCCCTCCGCTTCGAGTCGGGCTCCTGATCAGCCTGTCGGTGTTCTTTTCCCCATAATGACCGCGTCACTGCACATTATCCCTTACTTGTTATAACCTTCTTTAGTTTAGGAACCACTGGACCTCCCTCACCGAAAGGAGAGGAGAAAATGATGCCCCACAATGCTTTGCAGCCGCAGCATTTGCCGTCACACAACAGTCGGCCGTTCACGGAAACAAACGATTATGACGGAGAAATTATATCATGAAAGTTACGGTGCTTATTAAGCATTTTAAAACGTATGTGGTAAATTGCCAAAGTGCTTTGTTTTGAACGTTCATCAGTATTATAATCAAAAAGAGAAATATGAACGTTAGTTTTTACTGAAATTATCAAATAAAGTCAACATTTCACTGTGCTGTGTGGGGTTTGTTCAACTTTTAAAAGATGTTTGAATGGTGATATACACAGTGATAGATGTTAAGGACTAACGTTTATAATAGATAGGCCTACATTTGTATTGATTTTAAGATCCATAGTTCATACAATCATACGTAGGCCTATTGGGATCATTTGTATTAATGTGGACCGGAGTGAGAGGGTGAAGAGCATACATTTCACTTTCATTTTGTATTTCATTTCCGACTTTGGTCATGAAGAATATGCTTCTTGTCCACGTTCATAAAGCACTCAGAGGTCAAGGAATAGGATATAGGGTTAGAATTGAGGAGCTGATTTTTGGATTATCGGAACGCAACCCTGCTCTTCACGTAGCTCTGCATGTCGTCGTTTAGGTGCTTTTTTTTTCTGGAGATAGGCACTGCTCAATCCACTCCTCCATAGTAAGACCCCCCGGAGGTCGAAGTTAATCTTAAATGTTTCCATTTTATGATTTGGGAGTTTGTTTCGTAACGTAAAAAGGAGGGTTTCTGCCCCGTTACTTCTCCGCTGCTTTCTTGTTCCAGTTAGAAAACGGTATACTGTTTTTCTCAGACGCGGAGGGATACTGACTTGTTGTGAAAAGTAATTTACAATTCTACCCGTGGTATACGCTCAGTATATCACGGCTAAGAACCAATCAGATTGCTTGATTTGACTTGTCCGTTTTATAATTAAGTGTTAGCACCCCCCGAAGAGGCACAAGCTCGTATGTTGAATCTGGAGTTTCAATACATTCTAAATCATCAGTAAAGTCTACGACCATATTTCGGAGGGATATACTACATATTAACTTTCATTGTTATACATTTCAGTTCTTTAATACCATTACTTAATTAACACTTCACTTTCCTGACACAGTTCCACTAACATATATTCACTGTCGATTGTTATTTTTTAATATTCTTTGCGGAATTTGGCCGTGTAAATTGTCCTCTTGGGTTGCCGTACAGCCAATGCGTGACGTCATTAGAAAGCGTACTATGGCTATGATTCCCACCTCCAACCGTTCTTATTATACATCCATGCTCCAACCTAGCAACTGTACTACATTTAAAACATGTAGGCCTATCGGTACCAGTAAAGGAGGAAGGGAGGTGACCAAACATAAGACAGAGAGCAGGAAATAGCACCCGAGGGTGGGGAAGGAGCCATAGCTAGCTATCAAGCTAAAGTAGCTACCGTTAGCAAACCCGAAAGGAGTGTAAGCAACTGTGGAGTTAAAGTCGCTAAGAGAAGCAGAGTTGTGAGTGCTTAAGCTGTAGTAACGTGTGATTACAACGCCAGGTAGCTGCCGTGATCAAGAATTTGTAAAACGATCGATTTAGTTTAAGATAATATAAGCTATCAGCAGCAGAGCAGACACACAGGATAGCCCGGAAGTCACAACACGCTTACCGCAATAGTGAGGGTCCAGTAGGAAAAGTTATTTGCAATCCGCCAAAAACCGGAAGAAGAAGAGGTGAGTGGATTAAACATCTGCAGAGGTTTCATTAAGTGTATTTACACCTGTTAGCTTAGTTTACAGTTAATCACGAATCAGAAGTTATCTTATTTAATACAACAGCTGCAATCTTGGAAGAAAGAAACTCTCAAAAAAATTATAAAATGTGCGCCAAAAATAGTCTCAAATTATCTTTAAATAAAGGCTAAAAGCCATCGGCTAACAGCTAAAGTCTAAAAACTATCGTCTAACAGCTAAGGTCTAAAAGCTATCGACTAGCTTTATGAACGCAGCCCCAGGTGTGTGTGTGTTTTATTCTCATTCAGGTGGAGGAAATACCTTAATAATTACTTTCTCTAACATTATTATATCGTTTAGTTTGAGTAAACGCTCCCTTTCTACCTTCAGCATATTGTTTTAGTACGGTAACTCTTCTTTATTACCGTTAGCATTCTGGTTTCTGTTAGGTAACTCCTTTATGTTACAGGATGAATCCTCAGTTGATTGACTTGTTGTTTCTAGTCTCCTCCTGACTGACTGAGTCCTGGAGCTGTGAGTTTCTCCTCTTCAGTGAAGCAGCTTTATTACTGTCTCCTATTGTCACAGACAAAGTAGCATTACATGGATATACTCAAGTAAAGTAAAAGTACCTCTAAATAGTACTGAAGTACAGTACTTGAGTAAATGTACTTAGTTACTTCTCACCTCTGCGATGAACCTACGAAGTAGCTGTGGATTAGTTTTGTTGTGTCTGTCGGTTGTATTGAGTTGTCTTGTTTTGTGTCAGCTCTAGTTTTGTTGATTTATTTCAGAGACCCAGCCGGAGAAGGAGCACTGAGAGCAGCATGGACGAGAACAAAGAGACCCCTGGAGCTCAGGTCAGTGTGCACTTCATCACAATATATTCCTAATTCCAGCATTTCCGCCAGGTGGGCGTCTTGCCGTCATTTGACGCCCTTATTCAGCTCGGAACGCCCTGAACTCGAGCCAAGGGCGTCCAAAAGAGTTTTTATCGCTTGAAATGATGAAAAGGACGAGGACTTCCCTCTGTTGGAGGGGCAAAGCAGTCTGGTGGGATTCTTTTCTCCTCCAGCAAAGCGTGTTCCTGTGAAGGAAAGTGTACTGCCGGCGAGCCTTGGGGGTGCTGGAGCACGCGCGTGAACTGCGAGCACCGGAGCCTCGCAGCGGCGAAACTGAGGCTCTGGTAAACTGTGGTAAAATGAAGAGCCGTTTGGGAGCCGAAAGAGCCGGCTCTTCTTAGTGAGCCGAGCCAAATGATCCGACTCACTAAAAAGAGCCGGAATTCCCATCACTAATACGTAAAGAGATAGTATCTATAAGCAGGGCTGCACATAACTGGTGCGCATGCGCACCTCCGCCAAAAAAAGAGCACCGGGTCATTTGAAACAAAGCGCATTTGCGTACCAACATTGAGAGAGGGAGAGAGAGAAGGGAGAAGAGAAAATAGAGGAGAGATGAGAGAGAGAGAGAGAGAGAGAAAGATATTTGCGAGTTGCATACATGTATGAACCATGATATGAACTCAGGGTCGGCCCGTAGCACTGGCTAGATGTTCGCCTAGGGCGCCAGATCTGTGGAGGCGCTGCGCTGGCAGTTCTGGGAGGGAAAAAAACATTTTGACCGTTGGGGCTCATCCTAATTTTTGGCCTTGATGTAACAATATTCATAATTAAGTAAATGTGGTTTCACCCCGGTTACACGTTTCATTTGCCCTGTACGATGGGCGCTGTAAGTGATGAAAATGGGGGATGTTGGCTTATCTGGCGCCCGCAGCTCACAGCCAAAATGCGAGGGAGAGAGGGAGGGTGCACCGGTACCAGCGCTGTTGTTATTAGAATCTGGTGCCGTGCTAGCTGCTCTAACGGATATAAGAAGAAGATGTTTCTACAATAATGTGGAGGGAGAGTCCTCTCCAGTCAGACTGAGAGGCTGATACTACAGCTCAGTGAGGTAAAGCACTCCTGAGTGTTTAGATAGTTCACTTTAGTCTAAGTTCAAACGGTTTGGTCGCAATTTATGTAAACACATATTTCCAAGGCACTCCTTTATAATTATTGGGATAAACAGGTTTTAAATCATTCCAATGTATACTATAGGACAGTAACCAAAAATATCCTTTAAAACTGGAGAGATTAAAAAAAATGCATAAATAAATGTTAAGGTAAAATAAGATATGAATGAACACAAATAAAATAAGTTACATTCATTTGTTATTGGCTATGGTAGGTTATTGGTTATGTTCACATACTTATTTGATTACATCCACTTGTCTAAGATGACAACAGAGACTTTCGACCCAAACCCAGCTGTTGACAAGCAGCTAATCACAGACTCAACCAGAGAGGAAGAAGTAGGCCTACATCATCAGCTACCATGTCTGACAGAGAGGAAGACAGTGAGGAGAACAGTCAGGAGAACAGTGATGACAGCTTGTAGGATTACTGGTCGTGCTAATGTTGTCTTGTGTTCACCTCTGCATGTGTGTTCTGTGTTCACCTCTGCATGTGTGTTCTGTGTTCACCTCTGCATGTGTGTTCTGTGTTCACCTCTGCATGTGTGTTCTGTGTTCACCTCTGCATGTGTGTTCTGTGTTCACCTCTGCATGTGTGTTCTGTGTTCACCTCTGCATGTGTGTTCTGTGTTCACCTCTGCATGTGTGTTCTGTGTTCACCTCTGCACGTGTGTTCTGTGTTCACCTCTGCATGTGTGTTCTGTGTTCACCTCTGCATGTGT